AATTTGACACTTGACACTTGAACGGCGCGTTATCACTATTTGTGCAGCCCCAGTATAATCACCATTGCTGAGATTTGCAGGTTAAGCCGTTGTTGTTCCCTGGAATCCCGAGGTCAACCTGGCCAAACTCTGCCCTAGGTCTTCGCCACGACAGGCAGTGGCAGCCCTTGTGGATCAGAGGGAAATTTACCACCGTGCGACCTTGATACTAAGACGGTGGTGGATCCTGGTATTGGTTTACTCTTAGCTAGGCTTCCTGATGGAAACGTCGGACTCCTTCTCAGCTTGGGAGGGCCTGCAGGAGGGGCAAATCCCCCCGCTCAACATCGCTGTCCGACACCCAGGAACACCTAGCCACGATGAGGCGATAAACCAGTGGGAGTGTGAAGTGGAATTGTTGCCGAAAACGAACAATTTTTCTGTGAAGAGAGATATTTCAACTATTCAACCAGTCTGTCAAGGTATTGAAGCTCGTGACATCACAGCATGAAAAAGAACACCCTATTAATCAGTTTTCCCACATCTTAAAACTGCTTCACGAATGTATGTGTACAACTGTTAATTTGCCTATTGGTGAAAGCTTGGTAAGGCAACACTGAGAATGGGATCTGGTTCGGAAACTGTTTATCATGGATATTTATTAAAGTGGCAAAGGTTAAGCTATGAAGAAGCCGAACAAAAAAGGCGTGTAGCTTTGAGTTTGCGTTTTGGTATCCACATAGCTTGCTTAGATATTTGATTATCTCCCAAATCGCCTTACTTTTTTGGTGCCAATATTGAACATCACTCATTTGCTCTGCGTCTTCACTCGTCTTCGTCGCATAGGGGTTTCAGGTGGTTACTACTCGCTCTAATGACACAGTTCCGGATGAGAAGATACCCAATTATCGATTGCCAGTCGCTTCCAATACCCAAGTATGGATTGCCAATCACCTCAAAATAGATTTTGACCTGTCTGTATTGCTGGTTGTTTTGCTGACGAACCTTGGACAGTTCATCGTGAACTACATTTTTGATATGCTCTCTAAAGCACATGTCAGTACTGATGCATGAGAAATACTAGATGTGCACAAACCATAGGACGATTTTAGCAAGCGGTCGACAGTGCTCGTCAATAAGCACATATTTATTTTTTCGATCCAGATTATGGGAGTTATGGGTCCTCAAACTGATATAAAACTTCTACGGAAGGGTAAAAATTGCCGTCTATATTCGTGAGCAGGCCCGTCTTAAGACATTATATTTACCAAATTAAATTTGATCACGTCGTCGTTAATCGATGAAGTCTAAGGGATGACGCATTGCTCAGGGACTGACGAAAGCTGTGCGCTTTATCGTCCGCCTTTTTATTCGAAAGATACAGGTGAATCCGTTATAGTTAAGCCTACTCGCCCAATCCACTCCCTATAGTGGCCATGTTGTGAGAACGCACCATGTTGTTTATAATGACCATCTTACGTTAGCCCACTGATTACTCTATGTGATTTGACGTGTTTTTTCTTCTTCCAAATCCTCTGTCACCATCAAATTTCTGATTAACCGAACGTGTTCTGCATGAGATGCCTTTGTTTGCACCTATACATCGGAACCGTGCCGTTTTCGTTCAGGACACAAATATGTTAGATCCAGTGAAACCGAATTCCCTTCGAAATTACGTGCATCCACAGGTGACGATCTCGTGCTGATAGCGAAGAGTCGTTGATCAACTAATCTCTGGTGATGGAAAATATTACAGGTGTTTTTAGAAGTACAAAAACGAGGGACATTTGTGAACGCCAGAGCAATAGCAATTGTTCAATCGTGTATGGGACATTTTCAAAGAGTTCAGTAAAAATCATATTTCGAAGCAAGCGGACAAGAATAGAGACATTTGGACTCCTGAATTAAACGATAGGAAACGGCTGTGTGCAAAAAAACTGCGAAGTCTTCTAAATTAATGCACTTTGAAGGTTGAAATATGTCACACAGCCAACCTCTGTGCTCTTCCTATTTTTCTTCTCGTGATTTCTTTCTTCACCAGACAACATTGTTTCTTCGGGAAATGGCCTTTTCCTAAGCATACAGAATAACATTCATTAAGTCCAATGAAAGAGAGCTTCCAAGGAACACTGAGAGAATGCTTTCCTACATCTAGAAGTAGTAACTGTTATTTTGGCTACGACAACAAGAATCGAACTGGAAAGTAGTCTAGTTTTCGATGACACACCTTCGAAACGAGATATTTCACCGGTTTTCATCCCCTTTCGAGAAAAAATATCCTTCATAGGTGGATTACAACAGGCAATCAGGATTGAATATGAAAAAGGGTCTGCTGAAGTCGGTGTTTCCACAAAATTGTCTAAATTTACGAAAGCCATTTGCAAATTCAACATGACAGCGAGGTGTATGGGAGACGGTTAGGAGTCGCCTGCAAGAGGTAAGCTCTATGTCTACGCTGGGGTAGACTCCCATGCAACCCCTGAGTATACACAGGCCCCTCGTCCAGACCTCAGCAATCTAGACGTAGGCATCAAAAAGCTAAGCACAGTAAAAGAAACAGGTCTCTTTCGTGTCACTCCGAAGGAGCCCGCAATTCGACAGCGCTAGGTAGGACGAGCACGGAGAAGCAGCTAAGATCTCGGAGTCATTCCAAGTTTCCATGTCGCTGTTGTCCCAAAATTCTACACAGGATCAGACCATCGCCTTCTTCGTGCAAGGCTCTATTTCTCGCGGAAAGGATAAAAAGCCAATAAATTCAAGAAATGAAGTCCCAAAACCAACCAAAAAAGCGTGGACTTATTCAACTCACAAGTCTGTTGTTGGGAAGATGCCTTTCTCGACAACATCGACGCTGAATACGATTGTCTCATTCAACATCTTCACGTTAGAGCTATGAAACCTGAGAGCTCGAGAGTCATCCAGAGACATCTGCCTCCTGAAACACACGAGCTGATACGCCAGCGTGGAATCGCACGAGCTGCAGGCAACCGTGAACTAACAACCGAACTTGCAAAACAATGTAGACAGGCGATAAAAGATCTTAAAGGCAGAAGAGTAGCAGTAATGGTCGATGTTGCAGAGGCTGGGAAAAGCATTCGCAAGGCCCACCGAAGCTTCACCAATTACAGGACCAAAATGATTGCACTCCGACGCCCAGACGAAACTGTTACAGCGGATAGAAAGGCAATGGAGAAAGTCATTCGCGAATACTACTCGGGTCTCTTCGATAGCCACGTCTACCTTCTGTCATATGAAATAAAGGTGGATGGATGTGTTGTACCACCGGTTTCCCCTTCCGAAATCCGACATGCGATTTCGTCAGTGAAAAATCGAACAGTACCAGTTCCGGACAAGATAAGACCGGAACACCTGAACAACCTTACGCTAGTTCTCGTGAACACACTGGCTCGGCTCTTCGCACGTTACCTGTCTGAACGTAAGATCCCGAAAACCAGCAGGACCGTGTTGTTGATTCCTCGGGATGTTAAGCGTACTGCAGGAAGACCGCCGATCCGATGGTCAGAGTTCTCACGAAAAACCTGGAAGAAGGATATGATGCTCAAAGAGTCCCTCGAGGGAGTAGAACCTACTGGTACTCTTGCACGCAACAGCTAAAAATAGAAGGTTTACTGGCGCCGGTTCCAGTCATTCGACGATCGACGGGACTACAGGTGATACAAGGTGGTACCATAATCCTTAAATTTTTCACGCCCCGCTATCATAATGAGGTGTTTCGAATAATTATAAGTTCTCAACGTTATTTAATTGTTATATCGTGACATCATGCCGACGAAACAGAAAGAAGTCAAAAGCACTGTGACGAAAAGCAGCAGAAGGTGGGACTCTATCCTCTTATCAATGGTGATTCCCATCATTTCAAATTACCATCTACATGATTACATGAACATTATAATGAACTAATTCGTTCCTTATTTAACTACCTGCGCACACATACTGTATAAAATCCAAGCAATTTTTTTCATTGAGTTCACTGTCTTGCATCCTTCTAGAACGAAAGTTTTCAGATCTGTGGAATCGACTGCCAGTTGAGGACACTGCCTTCTTCAGCAATGTCGTTGACTGCACGCGGAGTTCGTTTTTCCTGGGATTCTATACAGTTCTATAAGCGATTTTCCAAGTTTTCACCACAAAAAATTGCCTTTGTGGTTTGAAAGAACTCTGTTCAGAAAGGTTTACCATCAATCCACCGTCCACGGCTGGCTCAAGAGCCTAGTTCGCTCGAAGAGGAGTCGGACAAGTGGTTATGGGTGCATTGGACGAAATCTTTAACTAGTTCGTTTATTAAAAACCTTGCGCGAAATGGTTGCAAATTCTTATTGTCGCTGTTTCGGTGATATCATCTTCATCAAAAGCGCGACAACCCCAATGTCCACAGCTGTTATTTCTTGCGATATGGGTCTCATTTTTTCACGCGTCCAGCTGAATTCAAAGGATTGAACCACCGCTGGAATGAAGTGGCATCATCCGTGCATTTGAATGGCAGTGGTGCATTCTGAAAAACAGTGGATACTGTCAAAACATTTCAGTACGGCAAAAACCGTTCTCTAAAGATGGACAATGCTTTCTGAGCGCACTTCATTCGTACCGTGTTCTATACTTTTGTGAAAACCTTGTATAAAATAATAAACAAAGAGATCACTTATCTCTGATAATGTTAAACAAAATATCGAGTTGAAAACCTGACCTCTGCGTTTCCTTTGGTTATAGCGAACTAAACTACAAACAAATCCCTTTAGACATTTACTCCCAAAAAGAACAAATAATGGAACAGTTAAACAACAAGCGAGCAAACGTAATCACGATATTTATCCACTGTAAACGTTTATCGGACATAAGACCACAGCAAACCGTAAATTCCATAAACGAAAACAATAATGTGCTCTGGTTCTGGAATGAATGCATAACTTTTTGTTAAAGAACTTAGCAAAAACGTTCCATAACACCAACAACAGCATAACTAGTTATTCATGTCTGCCCCTTAGAGACAAAACAAAACATAACTAATTCTTCTTGGTTGTGTACGTAGCCGGGAATCTCACGACTGCTTGTCCTTCTGCTTGGCCCAATCTCAGATACCCGGCATTTGGAACCACATTATACCTATAAACTACATTTTATATATGTAGGAAATGTACTGCCTAATCATTCAGTCCTTAGGAACAAAAGAAACAGCTCTTTCATTACATAAAGCTAACCTTGCACATTATGGTCCACAGACTGATGCGCTCCACTTCGGAACATAGTATCGTTATATACTTCTGCTCTCATTTTTTCCAACTTTTAACTTAACCGTTCCCTTTCCTGATCACCTAATTTACTAAGCTGTCGTTTCGTCGTTTCTACGAACACGCTTCGTTACATCGCTCTCAAGCGATCGATTACCAAATGGAAGAATTCGCTTTTGTCATAGGAACGGTTGCTATTTTGGTCAATTCTTGTTCAAAAGCAGCAAATTTCGCTCTGATCCACAAAGATCGGTAGCAGCTTGCTATAAGGTGACGGACGACCTGAGAACGCTTTAACCCAACTATTTCGAGTTTATAGGAGAAATAGTGCTCTACCAGCAACTGGCATGAGGCGAGGTTGACGTATGTTCGAGTTGCAGCCGAATCTACATTCGAACGTGACAACGTTCATAGACAACGGTTGCAAGAAAATTATTGGAAGAAATTCTGAAGCCTTCATGAGACGTGACGACGTTCATTTAAGCACGTAAGCGAATAAATCATCTTCACTGTGACCTCTATGGCTCAAGATTCATGACTACTGCAGTTACTACTCAACATTCACTCAATCTCTGAACTAATCCGAAGGCGCCCACACCATTAACTCTGCCGGCACCAGTGGAAGGCTTACTTAGTGGATCTGTGTTACAGTGGATCGACCGTATGTGACTTAAAATAAAACCATCTTCACTTCTACAGTTTAAACAACACCTTGAGGGAGATGAAAGTAAGGCCCATGCGGTAAGGGAATGTAATGCTTGAAACATACTGTTAACAAGGAAAGTATAACTGAGACTAATTAAAACAAATATCGCGAAATAATCAATCTCATAAAACCACTAAATAAAAATTTGGATGATCACCCAGAAAAAATAGCATATCTAATTCCATGCGCATTTTGGAACCTATGAAATGGAAATCTAAAGAAGTCTTGAAGTGAACCAATTCCAAGAATCACCGCCATCCTGGTGGCAAGTAATCACTAGGTAGCAAATATGCAGTTCGGTCGCTGAACTTCGCGTCACTTCTATTAAACTGAGCAAATTTTTCACTTTTTAAAAGTACGAAGTGTGTGTGAGCAAGGGCCAAAGGGCCAAAAGTACTTCAAAGTACCAACGGGAATAAGCAATAGTAGCAACTTCTCAAAAAATAGACCTTCAGAGATAGTAATTCCAGTTCAACAGTACTTCTTCTTTTCCCTTTCGCAGATAGAACGACGACAGCACACTACCTGTTTACCGGTTCAACAAGACTGAAGGTAGAAATGAGTCTCGAACTACGATCAGCAGCATAGAGAGATCCTATAACAAAAACCAAGACAAACCTTGCAAGCCGCTTAATCTCATTCTTATTGAAAAATGATGACGACTACCTGAAGTGACGATAATGACGGATTCGTACCATCCTATTATAACACTTTATAGGCAGGAAATCTTCTTCACAAAGAGATCTCTTGCTGGATAGTCACGATGCAACGTAGGGCGAACCCAAGTGGTGTGGAAGGAGTTGATTGCGTACCAAAAGCAACGACATGCTTCCTAACACATGGGTTGATCCAGAGAATGAACTCCCTGTTTTTGCTGTACCGATTTGGCACATACCTTCTGCATCTGTGAGGATGTATTCATGAGTGGATGCGTGGGTGTGTTCCCGCTTATGCGGATTGTATTATACACGTCAATTCGGCCAAAAACCGGAAATAAAGCGACAAGGAAGTATATGGAAGGCGGTCAAGAGTCGTTTCCAACAAATAAGCTCGCCCATCTACTCTGGGAGAGACTGGCAAACTACTCGTGAGTATTGCCAACACCCACGTTCACAGCTCAGTGGGTGCCACCATACCCATATCATATAGGTTAAACGTAGGTGCCAATCGCTAAACACAATAAAATAAACGACCTCATCTTCCTGACTCCGAAAGATCCCCAGACAGCGCAGCGTCGGGTACGTTTGGAGAGATTGATAAAACCTTAGGATAACACTGAGTTGCCCAAATCTCGGAAGGCTAAGGTGACGATCTGTACCTAAGATGCAAGCTCACTTGTATCTGAGTCCTGCATAGAGTACTCGATCAAACAGGTAAGAAAGATAAGGTACGAAGTCATTTTGTTGACTTAAACGAGAAGATGCCGTTCACTCAACGCCGTCTATGACACCAGGGAAGAACTGCTCCTCCGAGCATGTGACAGTAAAGGAGTCGTTCTCATCAACACGAATTTGACAATTTGACCATGAACATCGGCTCATTCGAACAACCAAGAACCCGAATCGAACGTTTACGATCAAAGAGATTTGGATTAACACCGGGTTTGACAATATTCGTCGTTTACGCACCGACATCAAGCTATGACGAAGAAGTCGAAGCGTACCGCAGCAACTTAGAAAAGTTCTACAGACAAGACAATGCATTCTTTAAGGTCATCATTGGAGGTTTTAACGCTAACACTGGATCCAGAAGAATATATGAAGAACGTCACATTGGACCCCACAAATTAGAATGGAACGACCAGTGTGAGCGGCTATTTTAGTTCACCGTGACGAGCAAGACCATCCGTGGTAACTCACAATTCTAGAATTCACCTCCTACACTCGACGTGGGAGCCTCTTAGTGAAGAGTACCACAACGAAATAAACAACGGCGTAGAAAATCAAACGCTTTGCCTAACCGACGTCGGTGTTATCCCAAAATTTTACACGGAATCAGACCATCGCCTATTTCGTGCAATTTCATTCTTCGCGGAAAGGAGAAAAAGCCGCAAAGTAAAGAAAAATTCCGAAAACCATCAAAACCTGGACTTATTCGATTAATTAGTCGGCTGTTGGGAAAATGCCGTTCTTTATAACATCGAGGAAGAACACGATGGACTCATTCAACATTTCAAATGACGAATGAGAGGTCAAAAGTTTCTAAGAGATGTCTTTCTCGGAAAACTCCAGAGCTGGTTTCGCAGCATGCAATATCATGAGCTACAGGCATTCGCTAATTCACGTCCGAATTTTCAAAACAATGCAGATAGGTGATAACAGATCTTAAAGAGACAAGAGCAAGAGTTGTAGTCGAAGCTACGGAGGCTGAAAAAAGCATCCTCAAAGATTACCGAATCTTCGCCAATTACAAAACGAAGATTACTGCACTCTAACGCCCAGAAGGAACGGTTATAGCGTCCAAAAGGGCAATGGAAAAAATCATCCACAATTACTACTTGGATCTCTTCAATTTCAACATCCTCCTACCCCCATATGAAATAAAGGATAGATATCTAGCACTACCGGTTCTCCCTTCCAAAATCCGACATGCTATTTCGTCGCTGAAGAAACGAACAGCACCAGGTCCGGAAGGGATAAGATCTCAACACCTGAAGAACCTTCCGCCAATCCTCACAAACACACTGACTCGGCACTTCACACGTTACCTGTCAGAATGCAGGATTCCTACTCAGTAGAAGATCAGCGAGGCCGTGCTATTTTTCAAGAAGAGTGATCTCACTGATATCAGCGACTATCTCCCAATCTAATACCCATCCAAAAACCATGACGACTACCTACAGTGACGATAGTAACAAATTCCTACCGTGCTATTTCAACAGATACAAATGCTGAACACAAAGGTAAAATATTAGCCCGCTAGTAAGATCCTTGCTAAGTGAAACCACTTAGGAGATATGACGTGTCGTAAAGATAGGCTACCCATAGACTTCAATACGTAGCTGTAGCAATGATGACTTCATTTGCAAGTTTATAAAGTTCTAATTTTTCCTCTCAAATATTGTTAACATTGCATACCACATTAACTCGTTTGTAAAAACGACGAATAAACAAATTCACAAATCATATCATGTTTCCTTTGCACAATGCAATTACCTTAATACCAGTGTGACATTCGGATGGTTGAGCAGATTCGATCCGTCATCCAGGAAATAGTACTTGCTTTGGAGACGACGTTCGTCAAGAACGACCCGCTCACTGCGTAGCACAATTTTATCCCACAATACAACTTGGTTCATCGTCTAAACTTAATAATGTCTAAACGCATAAATCTATATACATATATATATATATATATATAGGTGCATACACATACAAATATATTTATATACAATTTATGTACATTTATGTGCTTGACAGAAAAGTTAGGTCCTATAAATAAGGCCCTATAAGTAAGGTGCAAAGTCAATGGCGGTGTTGATGCTGCAACACTTGACTATTACTGTCTAATACTTTCCTGTATTCAACTACCCGCTGTATACAAAATTCCACGAAAAAGTGTCCCATGTGGAAGGACGAGCTCAAATTGTTCCTCTCGTCTCCCTTTTTTCCACCGATTGAAGATAACATTCACACCATTTTTCAGAAATTCAATTGTTTAGTCTCTTGTTGAACGGTAACTCTCTCTTCACTCACATTCTCCGGAGACTCATACTCAGCGACCAGATACAGGAACAGTTGCTTTACATTCCAATTAAAAATCTTCGTGAAATCGCCAGAGATTGAGAAGTCCAGCATGCCAATGTCCGCCTTTTCAGATGACGTTGAATAATCGGCTATAGACCGCCTGTAATACACTATTATTCCAACTCAGCTAAATGATGATATGAAACATCATGCCTTTACTACATGATTTACCACTATCCCTCTACTACCATACAAGGATAACCCAAAAAATCAAATCAGAGAAACAAAAATAGCAATAAATAATACAATTTACTCGCCAAAATCAAGCGTTTCCCCAATTCAACAATCGTTTCATCGCCATGGGAACATGTCCATAGGCCTTGAAACCCCGACATCAAAAATCCATCACCTTCTGGTAAAAAACAAATAAACGATGAAGCTCTCGGCGTTGATCAATCCCTGAGGTAGCCTCGTGCATTCCATTTCATTAAGCATTGTTGGAGGTGAGTGAATGCATATCTGGCCTTTACAATGACTCGCGGTGGCCTACCGATATATCGAGCTAGTGCTGCTATTAATCCAGAAAAGTCTGGTATCAGGATGGCTTGGTGGGTCTGAGGCGTGCGTATCGATCCCAAATCTATTGAAAGGTGGCCCCGACCACTAGGCTACACGCACCCCCTATCTTCTGATAAGGTCATCTACACTCAGATGTCGTTCACCAAAGCCATACTAGAGCCCAACATAAACTCAAAAAAGCAGTATTCTCAATAGTACTAATTCCACACAAACAGAAGACTGCAATTAGATCGAAAGCTAACACACAACAAAGTTTAGCTCCAACATCCATACTCTGTTAAGCTATGCCAGGAATACGTGACGAACACGTCAGGAATAGCTTATGCGGTGAAAGCACTTACACTCTCGGATTATTAACAGTAATCTCAACTTTGGAGGTATAGTCGGCAAACGTAGTAGATAGAAAACAAGCGAACGTCACAGCTGCTAGCACCCATAACATGAATGCGAACAAAGCGTTCGCTCTGGAATAGATGGAGTGCATAGACTGAAAATACACTTACATGAACAGGCAAGGCAGTAATAGTTCTATGAAAGGACTAAAACGAATCCAGGAGAGGAAAATCAGTAGGTAGCATTAAAATGAGAAGCCATATCTATTGCACAAACGGTGATATTTACAATACTACGTTGAAGACCCTTCGGAAACTTTTCCATGCAACGTTAGGTTCACTTCTACTTAATCTAAAATTGCGCAAAGAATAAAGAACTGATAAAAACACTTATTAAGAAATCTGGCAAACAAGTACCGCATCACCGATTGCAAAGGTTTACCATTTAATTTGCCAACCACAGCATAACTGAAGAATATGGAAGTGTTTTGCAACGATAAAAAATACTTGGATACTTAGACGGCCCCTCTTCACTGGATGTACGGGCCTCAGTATAACTCCCACTTTTTCGCTTTTTTGGCGGTTTATCCGTTATCGTTCCTTGAATGCCGAGGCCAGTTTAGCCAAAATATGCCTTAGGTGCCCATGGTCGCCATCACCACAGGCGGCTCCCGCCTTTGTAGGTCAGAGATTTGCCACCATACGACCAGTTTCGTACCAGGACGGTGGTGGATTCTTGTATTGGTTCACTCTCAACTAGATTTCCTGTTGGAAACGCTGAACTCCACAGGTTGGCAGTTTGGGAGGCCTTGCTGGGTGGATGAATCCCCCGCTGTACATTGTAGCCCTACATGCAGGAACACCTCCCACACAGGATGAGGCGGTAAACTGTTGGGAGGAACGATCAACGATCAAAAACACTTTCGACGACTTCAAATTATTACCAACAGATTCAAAGCTTTATAAATAACTCCAGTAATATAGTGGAGAAAACCACGTGAAGTGAACTGGAACATATTTCGATGAAGAACTATTTATCCAAATATCGAAGAAATCCAATAAAATACAGCGTTGTGGTTAGTATAAATCTTTGGTATGACAAGGTAAAAAATTGTGGTACACTGATGATATCCAACATGAGAGCATCGTTTAGAAGGATCAAGAAGGATAAGAAACTGTTCTGATGTTAGAAATCACATCTCTACTACAAGTGATGCCGATATAAGAACTAGAAGGAAGTATACAGGCAGCGAATAGCCTGTGCTAGAAAATCTATGGACAATAGTAAGGTAAGAAATTTATACGAAATATAAGGAGAAGGCTCTAAGGTATTTTAACAAAGACGGAAACCATAAGAACCTGTGGGGAGCAGTGGTCATTAGGTCATCCGAATAATACTCATATCAACTGGAAGATTTTCTATGTGATCGATATTTGACCACCATTCCGACAAAAACCTTAGACGGTAGAAAAGACGAAACCATGGAGAGAACGATGGCGATTCTAAATCGACAAAGTAACAATATATTCTCATAAACTTGTAACATTAGCATATGAAACTCACCTGATGCGATCCAATCGGTAAGTTCCTTTTCATCAACTGCTCTGATATCACTCACTTCCTGTGGATTGGGTACAAGACGATCCAGTGGCACATTCTTCGTTACCACTGCATAGTCGAGCTCATGTTCTCCCCATAATGAGTCCGCTTCCACTGCCTTGAAAAAAGTATTGTATAATTCCTAGGAATGGCTTTCTAGTAAATTATAAGTGTCTAGAGAAGTTGACTCTCGTGCAACTGAAATTTAGGTGTCGAGTTTTTCTGTTTCGATTACGGAAATAATGGGTGGTGGAAGTTGTTAGCGATGCAGTCTATGAGAAAAGAAGGTGACTGTTCGACTCTTTCCTCAGCACTGTCCACCAGCTCGATCAATATTCCATGACATTCATAAGAAGACAAAATACTCAAGCAGCAGCCGAAGCAAAAAGTTCGAAGACTTTTTTAGACGATGAATGTGAGGAAAACTAATCGAATGCGTGAAGTGCTTGGATCCGCACATCAGATGTGATGACGAGACATGTACAATGAAAACGAAAAAAATAAAAAAATATTACAGAAATAATCATAATGATACCGGGATATTTGCAAAACCTCCGACCGCAGGTGTCTGCAGTGGGGAACGGAAGCGCTATTACTCTTTCCGGGAACTAACGCGTTGACCGCCACTCCATTGCGGAAGCATTTGATAGATTACGTATTAAATTCATATCTGTAGGTTCCGAAGAATGCCGAATCCAGCGAACCATCAGTTACTGTGAAACAAATATTGTAGTAAGAACCTCGTGACTGCTTAAGAAAACAATGGGCTAAGGTATTGTTAAGAAAACGCTTTCTTAAAAGACTGGTCTCCGAGGCATTTACATTCGATATTTCTTTATGGATCGCCACTGTGAATAAACTATAGTCTCAGTTTCAGAATAAAAACATACAGGATTATTTTTAGCACAGTTACATCCATATTAGTTTGAGCGGCACAAAAGGACTCAATGTTCAATATGCAAAAGCTTCACTTTGTACAGAAACCGTCCCATCACGTGACATTCTTTCGGCTCCAAATCCACGAATCCCAGTTCGTGTTCTATTTTTCTTACTACCGCTGCGATTACTCCAGTAGCACCAGTCCGTTCGCCGGCGGTAAATAACGGGTGGCTACAGCACGTATTTGCCCATAAACACGGAAAAGTGATCTGAAATCATAATTTTCAAGTGCTTTGAAGATCTTGGTCGTTTTTTTTTTGGCTTATTAAGCTTAGATGAAGGTGGTAAAAAGGTTTACTCGACCGACGTTTTGTCTTAAGGTATTCTGGTAGTAAATTGCTGATGTATTCAAAAAATTTTTGGCCTACGTAGTACACATAGGCGGTAGTACAGCAGTGAAATGACTCCATTTAATACACTCTATGCCTTGCTACGACTCTGCACCAATTTAGCGTAGCCTTCTATAACCCTCGGATCGGAGAATTGGTATCAGAATTCTCTGACATGCTTGTTCCGATCCAAGGGGATTAGATACGACCTGGAACGGCATCCGAGGATTTCTGGAACAGCACAGTCGGACCAAACTAATACAGCACGATGAAGGATAGTAGAACTTGTCACAAATTCTGCTACAAAAAGCCTGTAAGTAGTGAAAACGTACCGTGTAATTGAGCTCATTAGCTGTCCAACCATCAACTCAACAGTTACGATTCCTATCGCCTTTTAACAAATCAACAAAAACCACTATAACGATTAAGGCATTCTACTGGGCTTATACAATATTCTAAATAACCCTATACTAAAACCATAGAACTTGGTAATAGTGACCATCGCCAAATGCTAGCAAGTGCAATGCCAATTGCTACACGATGAACTGTCATCAGGAAAATAAACGAATTTTGATGGAAAACATACCAAAAACAAACATTAATAAAACGACACTGTTAACTAAGATAGCTTTGTTTGCATGGTGTCAAACTTGTCACGATTAGACGACTACGAAGAACCATATCGCAAAAAACAAGCATGAAGGACAGTTGATTCGTATAACTACGGCTTCAAAGAAGACGATGGCGTCAAAACATTCGCCACGACAGAGATTTGCTGCAATCTCGCGCAATTTTACTAAACCACGACGTTCATAATGGTCCTAGTTTTCAAGTTATCAAGAGGCGTGTCTCCTTAGTAATACATGAGCTAATACAATAGCACAGGTATGAAAGGAAGACGTTACTAGCACCCGTTCGAAATAGGCGATGACCAAAGATTAATGGCAAAAGAACGACTTTAGCCTTATAATAATAATAATAATAATAATACAATCCTAAACCATAACCACCTTATTTTTCTTGCCTATAGTGCAGAACCCTCTCAAAACAGGCTCTTCCGACTGGTTAAATTCTAATAATTATTCGGCTCACAATGCTGTTCAGTAGCGTTAACATTAACCTACTCAACTTCGTCGCGCTTCTCTTCTGCAATATGAGTTTCTTATCCGGTGTGAAGGCGAACAGACTGAAGGCACGGTGCAAACCCACTGCAATACATTTTATCTGAAGCTTTCTGTCCCTAAAATTTTGTAGTAAAGGCACGATTTTAGTACAAAGAAAAACACTGTCGAGAATGAATATGTTGGCTTATGAACTCCCACGTACGTATCTCTTTTCAGTAGGAGTAAACGTGGATAAAATGATTCCGAGTAATGGGATTACTAACTTTGCTAAGAAAGACTACTGTATACACTCGATGTTCACCAATGGTGCGATTTCGTGTATGCTGACTGTACACTATATATCCACCCAATCAAAATATAACAATCCAGAGATTTGCAAGTACATGGAAGACCGTTCGAAGCCACAATAGCCCCCTCTTTTATCTAGATCCCAAAACGATAAGACTGGTGTGAACAAATCAACCCTTCCTCTCTTTCATGCTAAACTTGGATGGTCACTGAATAACTCTGGATTGTGCCAACCAAGGTCCCATTTCATCAGATTCAGGATATTGGCACCCGACTTTTTTGGAAACAGCAGATTGACATCAGCGAGGCAAAAAAGCAAACGCGTTTGGTAAGTGCCTAGGAACGCTATAAAAAAGCTATGGAAGGGATTCTAAGAATAGTAATGCTCGGGCTGTGGTTAACACACTCATAAAAAAGATAATATTGCTGCCGAACCCAGATGAAAGACTATTTGGATGATGGATGAAAGACAAGGAATAAAAAAGAATTGCTGGGATCTAAACAATATGTGGCGATTGGATATAACAGAAAAACCAAGTGAAAGAGCATATACAAATCTCAGTCGCAATTCATAACCTTTTTCATTCGTGAGGAAACTCCTTGCCATTTGAAAAGACAAACTTGTCTGGCAAAAGAAATAAATGGACGCAAAATATTTTAGGTTACCGGATCCATTCATTTAACGCTTTCCACAAAAGCTATCCGTTTCATAGCATCCCTTCGTTGTAAAATAGTGTTTGAATCTAAATTTAAGTATATGCTAGAAATTTGCAGTTTTGCTGATATTCTTTATGCTGGACATTAAACTTATTTAACATTTGCTATGAGCATGGTGTATACTTATAAACTCCCCATATCGGAGTTTGGACACCCAAGTTTTAACTTTCAGAAAATATTATGAGCTCCACTACAAAGAAACCAAAAATAATGAATATACACACATGTCTCCACACGATGTGCATCCATTTTTGTCACTTCGCCAATGATCTTATCATCCTCGTCCACAGCAATACACTTTTCCGATAGATATCCAACCTGCACCGGATCATACTTTGGTAGTAACACATTTGCTCTCTGCATCCTGAAATATCCACCAGATGGTAACGACATACGGAGTTGTAAAAGTGATAGCATTCTGCTCCATTTCTTTGAAAAAGTGCCTAGTTTTAAAACTAAACCAGGATACTCTCTGAACAACAGCATTCATGCTAACCAAACAATTTGAAAACCATATTCTAGCACCAACTAAGCACTAAATGATAACTTGAAGCTACGAAGAACTTTCAACAATGAAAGTCAAACAACCAAAGAGACACAAAGAGACAACCAAGAGAAGGGGTAACAGCGCGTTCATGCCCCATGGCAGGCACCTGTGGTCCTGAGTTTTGGAAATACCTCAGCATCATTGTGATTGTAACAAAGAAATACTGTTATTCATGCTATTGCGTAATCTGACTTACCTTTCTATTCCATTTGATAAGAAACGTCGAGCTATGACACTCATCTTGGTAATTTGCCTTTAAAGAACGTTCTTCAACGACATATATATACACGATACTAATACCTTTTAATGCTGCCTAATTTCCTCGCTTAAAGAACAGTATAACTTCCACAGATGAAAAAAACCTTTCCCTATTGTTTATTGAATGCTATCTTGCAGTAACAGAAAAATCCAGTTGGTTGTCAACTCACCAAGTCCTGAAGACTGTGACAAATTTAATAAGTGAGCTCTTTACCGCTCTTCGATTCGCTCTGCAACAAGTTTCGTAATGGTTCTCGGCGCCTCTAATAATAACAATTTGAACCAACTTTACTCATGTATGCATTAGAAATCGGAAGCGTGTAGCCCAGAGGTTAGAGGCGCCCCGCACTACACGGGATCGATCCACGTGCCCTAGGTTCACCAAGCCCTTTGTCCCATTTGGGTCGGCAAATTGGTACCAGGCTTGTCTGCGATGACAGCAGCACTTCCACGATCCATCGGTAGCCCACTGTAAGTCATTGTAAAGGTCAGATATGCATTCATTGACCTCTAACGATGCTTAATGAAGTCAAATGCATTGCGTATCCCTCAGGAATTAATCAACGCCGAGAGCTTTCTTTTTACTATACATTAGAAACAGTGTGGGCAAAATGATACAGCAATTCAATTTTAACACTCTCGCGACGAATAACACCCATGAGAGCCATCAAGGTTTTCCGACGGCTGCCTGTATGACACCTATATGTGCCATTTCTTCGAAATGCACAGGAAGACCGATTTCTAAAACGGAAACCACATTAAAAGGGGTCGGCGCAAAACAAACTTGCCGGAGTGGCCGGTGTGACACCTAAGAGTCTCACAGTAAGCGTGTCACAAAATAAAGCGCCGTCCATTCCGCAAAAACGCAAGATTACACGTCGTTGAGAGCGTGAAACCAATATATACTGTTCCATAACTGGTTTTATTTGATTACTGACATATAAGCCATTAGAATTTACAGACACACTCACTAAAGTCCTTTTATCCTGCTACGATAAAAATCTGATCTGCTCCCGCCCAATGGTAACGCTTTCCCTCAAAACTTGTAACTCAAACGGCCAGATGACTACCTCGTGCATCGTTCAATTTCTTTTGTTTTGGCATTTTTTAAATACTAGTCTAGGACAAACCCAGAACAAGAACATTCCGAAAAATTTATATATCCCTTTAGAGCGATGAGGAAAAATCCTACACATAATTTTGCAAACTCTTTATGCGCTCAAATATCCTTATTAAGGAAGAATTAGCACATGCAGTGTAAATGCTAAATTGAAACACCCGTTTATAATCTCAGCTATCCGATTACGTAACATGCTTAATCTACCATGATAACATTTCAAACAAACCCATTTGAGTCGACATATCTGTAAGATTCCAGACAAACACAAAAGTTCTAAATTCCTATATTTTCCGTTCAAAAACTGAACTCTACCCAACAGTTTACCGCCTCATTGTGACTGCGAGGCGTTCCTGGGTTTCGGGCTTCGACGATGTACACCAGAAGGATTCATTCCTCACCCACCCCCAGCTGGGTCTCCCAAGCTGAGAAGGAGTCCAGTTAAGCGTAATCCACTACCAAGATCCACTACCACCCTGATATCAAACTTGTCACGTGGCAAATTTCCCTCTGATCCACAAGGGCAGCGACTATCTGGTGACGAAGTGGGGCAGACCTTGGTTAGGCCGACCTCGGTACTCCAGAAAACCACAATGGCTAAACCAGGAAAACTCCGAAAAAATAAATATTATGGTGGGGCTCAAATAACCAGTAAAGACGGGCCATTTATGTATCTAAGTAAACAAACATCGAATTAAACGCTAAACTCACAAAGTATGTATGAAAGCAATTCGTATGCTGTATCGTCCAAATAACCATGTTAGTATTTCAATGTTTATTATAATAAAGTCCATCTCATATCGTGTAGACTGAAAATTAACAATGAACATCAATGAATCACTAAGATGACACTATACTGCGTCGATATGTTGCCACACAAGCAGGACTGCAAAATCGCAGCTCAAAGCTCTCAAATCCAAAACCAGTGTAGATGACACCACACTAAAATACAAGGAAGAAATTAAAGAAAAATCAATAAAGACAATCTCTCATAGCAATTAGGCAAAAAATCACCCATATTCAACAAACTATGAGGAACAAAAAAGTACTATAACAGGAAATTTCTGTCAAACAGAAACCAAAAGCACTACGATAAACAAGAAAAGCTCCCTTGGAACAATTTAGACAAACGAAAGATATCTTCAAATCCGAATTACGAAATGAAGACTCCATGAATAGAAAGGCGCTTTGAATAGAGCTGAATAAATAATGGAATAAAATTTAACCTGTACACATCTAGGACCACCCTCAAGCCGTGCTAGCCGTGCTTCAGCAGCGGCAGCCCGTTTTTCTCGATCGGACAACGCCAGAAAAGCAGCACGAGCAGCCTGCATAATGTATTTCTTAAAGCCTTCCCCTTAAAAAACTCTATTGTTTTACCTATGGGATTGAGTTGTTCGCTTAATCTATAGAACTGATTTTCACCTATACCTGAACAACATGTAGTGATATAAAAGTGGTGACAACATGCATAAAACTCATTGTACAGAATGATAGGAAAATAACGGTTTACTTCAGTGTCCATAATTGCAATTGATTTAAATATGGCAATAATTCCCTTAAATTTCTATGGTGCGGAAATGAAACATTGAAGGGACTGAATAACCACCTATCATATGATGGGGCACTAAATGAATCGTTAGTATGGAGTGTTGCCAAGCTTGCGTTTAAAAAACCTTTTCAAAAAATCTCTAATTTATCTAGTCAACGAGGAATTATTGATGTCTACCGAGGCAGCACAGGCGCTTGTGGCGCAGTGGTTGGAGGCGCCCTGCAACAGGCACGTGGTATCAATGTCAGTCCCCATGACCCACCATGCTTTACATCCCTCCGGGGTCCGCAAATTGGTAAAAGACGTCTAGGAGGATAGCAGCACTGGCTTTATACAACGGTAGGCCACTGAGAGTCACTGTAAAGGCCAGATATGCATTCAATCACCTCCAACGATGTTTAATGGTGTCGAATGCATGGCGCATCCCTCAGGGATTGATCAACGCTGACGGCTTTATCCTTCATCCTTTTACGGTTTATCTCGTCGAACACACACGAGCTCTCAGCATAATCTTCCTATCACAATTTAAGGTTTCATATTTCCTTGAATTGATTGTGTATTTCTAGCATGGTGAAACTTTCACTGGTCATCATTCCGTGACATGTGATAATATACACAGAGTACCTCTTTTACTTGGTCACCCTCAACCACACAGTCCTCATCTGTACCATTTACATCCTCTCTTCCGTCCTTTTCGCTCAACTATCATCACTACCCGTTCTACTTCATTTTCACCATTTTAAAGAAGCGTTTTTCGAAAATCTACATTGCATAAGCTAATTTTATGGCGCGATGACTACATTATTTAAAAACACATAAGTTACTATGTTCTTGATGAGCACACACGAGGTTACTGCAATATCTATGTTCACAGTGGCTAACGTTTTCGCAGATCTTGTCTTCTTCAGAGCCTAGAAAGGCTCAATTGATAAGCAAGCTTGGCCAAACAATTTTTTAACCCCAAAAAAAGATGCTCAAAACCTAAATCGCAATCGCATAGGAAAGAGTTTTAAACACTCATCGCCTTCCACTTACTTCTGGGGACCAACAGCACAGAGAAACATCTATATGGGTTGGTAATGTGCTTCTCTCAGAATAAAAGACCAGTATAAGAGATTGTGTGAAGTCATGCTTTATAATAAAGCACTCCTCCCTGCAAATCATCTTTCGAATTTTTGGAATTTGCCGAAAATACCTGGAGAGTTTGCGCACTAATGTTTTAGGTTCCTGTGCACAAATGGTGATTTTTACTTTAAAATCTTCTCCGTTATATCTCTGTGTCCAATGCGAGCTTAGTGGAGTGATTTTTTGACTTTGAGTTTCATATCTAGGTGCTCTTTTATATGGACACAAAGCTGTTAACCCACTTCACTAATGCATTAGTATCCGCATGTTTAAAAAGAGATCAGCTACATCATATCGGAACCTATGCAATCAACGTTTCCACCGTTAGGGCAAATTTTGAAGTTTTGCGTTGCACACAGACGCAAATATAAAGGGTTACCAACTAGCTGACGACGCAGAGCATTCGATGGGATTTTCAAAGTACTTGGTTGAGCATATTACGCATCAATTTGGTCTTTTCAGTCTTTTGAAGAAGGTGAAATCAGCCGAAAGGTTAGCCAATGTGAAACAAGTATTGTACTAATAACCTCGTATCTGCTCGTCATTAGATACGTGATCAATACCAAGGTTCTCAAAGTCGGTTCTGGAAACTAGCAGACGATTTACTATTAAAAGAAGTAGTTCAAACGCTGCAACGTGGATTCGCACCCGACTTAAGTGAGGTGTAAACCCTACACCCATCCTCATACACAAAGCAAGACTACCAGGGACCGTTAGGTTAAAAATAACAGCGCGAAGTTGTACATTTGTTAACTGATCGACGGCTTTCGTACACGGTCCTGCTGGACCAAGGTGACCTCCTTCTTCCATTCAACTGTGAGAAACAATGCCGTTTTCCAGGACCACTGTACGTACTATACAGATGTTCTCTAGGGTATCTGTAGTGATACAACTACGACTTGTTTTCCATCGCAATATGGGCTTTTCATGAATCGGGTATTCCTTCGACTTATCAGCAGACGTATAGTTCCGAAACTTTTTTAAGCACTTCTGCTCAAGTAGTACTCGCAAAGGTGAACGATTTGGCAATAGGAACAAGATTCGATGGGGTGTTCATCATTTTACATGTACATTTCGCCTTAATCGATTCACATAGTCATCTACCGCAGTGCATCGGTGAGGAGCTTAGAAGGGATTGTACTGGACTGGTAGACTGCATTTAGCACAAAAGTCGAAGGAAAGCTAACTTTTAGCCACAGTGGGGATGAAAGTGAAGTGATAGATAATCTTGTTACCGAACTAGGAGTACAGATCAACTGTGTATAAATTTCATCCTATTGAAAACATAGTGTTCTATATCACGGCTCCTTTTACAAAACTTAGACAATTTAAATAATATCACCCAAGAAACACCACGCACCATCTCTTCCGCCTCTTTCCTCTCCGCTTCTTTCTTCATTTTGCTCCTGTCTTTTTGTCTCTGTTTCTTTTCTTTCTTTTTCTCGGTCATTTTAGCAATTTGCTCATCAGTTATCTGTGTCGGTTCCGGTATATGACATCTATAAAAATTGGTATTTATTCGTATTTCCTTCCTAGCGCTAAGTTATCATTTTAGAACATATAAGATATAGTGCTATTCAGAATCGGAAATTACCTTGCCCAATTCCACTTGTTCGGATTTTCACTACGAAATTGAATAAACACTTTCTTTATGGCTTTATTTGCCGACACAGCGTATGCTACCATATCGTTCTCATTTTTGATAGAAGGATTGCAGCCAACTTCAAGAAGGTACTGAAGAAAAAGTCACATTTGGAAAGGTGAGTATTGTCACTCTATTTTTACCACTACAATTTTTGACCAGAAAAAAAGGTTGCCTTACACTTTCGGAACATCACAATTTCGTAGCTCTTTTCTCTTACTGGTCTCTAGATTGTACTCATAAGTTGTCAGCGGTGTTCCGCCGTGGATAAATTTCAGAACGCATACCTGTACAACTTCACCGCACCCACTTTTCGCTGCCATATGAAGGAATGTGTCGGAATCAGATGAAAACCGAAATGACGAAAGATAGCTGAGAACCTAGAAAACGTTGAATTCTGTTTTGGAAGGACAAGTTCAGAAACAACGCCGTGTTAAACATTAACACCGCGAAGATAAGCATTATGAGCTTGCAATAAAAAAAATTTGCATATCCTCATTGCTGAATGACGGCAATAAAACCTCATTTTTATCTTCTCTATTACGCCCGTTGACAAATTCCCTAAGTGTGTCCACATTGTTGTCTTTGACTAGTGTGTACAACTCTCTTCGGCCATTCCTGTCTAGTGTTGGCCATGGGTCAATTTCTCGAGGCTGGACATGTGCATTCATGGCTAGTTTTGAGTCGTTCATCTAGAGTAATATTATGAATTTCGTTGTTAAAATAGCATATAGCACAGCAAGAAACCTAAGACACACAAACAAACGGACAGAAGAAAAAATCACCTTTTCTTGTGGACCTCTTTCATTTAGCTCGTCATCCTCAGGAATCCACTGAAAATTGGACTTCTTCTTCTTTAACAAAACTTTCACCCTTTGTTTTCGCCTTCTTCTCTCAGCCATAAAATCATTGACTGTGCCATGGCGAAAGACAGAACTTAGACGTTCCCACACACGTCGCACCTCATCTACAAGTGGACGTTTCGTTTCAAATGGAATTGTCCTGAAAATGAATAACACTGGAATCAATAAGGTACGTGTTTATAAATGATTTTAGAGTTCTGAAATGATCAGAACCATTTTCAACCCACCTTAATCTCGGATCCTTTCTGTTGAATCCACCTTCATCAATTTCATGGAATATAACGCGTTGGTAACTTGCACATCGAATGAATACCAGTGGTGTGTTAGCGAGATGCACTGACCATGATGTCAACACTGTCACGATGTCCTCTCGTAATGCGCGCTCGTTGTATCTGATTAAAATTTAAGTATGCAGCCACTATGGCACATGAATTACCTATCACATATTGTCCAACATAAAGAAAATAAAGAACTTAGTGGCGACCACTCTCACAATGATGTTTAGAAGCAACTATGTGGCATTTAATACATAATATTGAGTAATTGAATTTGGATGCCGATGAAATGATTACTTGCGGAGACCAAAAGATGCGGAATTGACTCCGTTGATCTCCTCAAACTAATCTGGGTCCGATTTATCGAGTCTTAACTATGGAACGACGTAGACGACTTCGGTGAAACGTTAAGTCAGCATTCAAGTATGCGACAAGAGTAGCTCACTTAACGAACCGCAAGAATAAATCCAATAGATCACTCCGATATATGGCATGACATCACAGGCCTAACGGTAAGAAGGATAAAGCATACAGCTCTCGACGTTGATCAATCTGAGAGATGCGCCATGCATTGGACTTCTTTAAACAACGTTAGAGGTCAGCGAATGAATATCTGGCCTTTATAATGACTCGCGGTGACCTCCGATGTAAGCGACCCAGGACTGCCATCTTCCTAAACAAGCCTGGTACCAATTTTCCGAACACGAAAGGATGGAAGGCCTGGCGAGTCTATGGCGCAGGGATTAATCCCATATCTATTGCAGGGCGCCTCCGACTACTGCGCTACACGCCCGCTAACGGTATTCAACAATAAGGTTGAATGGTTGAAGGAATTTGCTGTTCCAAAAAAAATGTTTTAAATAATTTCAAGTCGGTTGAAAAGTGCTCAGGACGTTCTTCAACCACATACCTACGCAATTTGGCGCCAGCTGAATGTGCAGCGCCTTTGGACCTGTCATTAACACTTTGCACACTGCCTTGTTTCGCCCGCACCACGTAACGATGAAACGCTTTATGCGCTATCATTTTGTCTCTGAAACCAGGACTTCATGACGCAATTACTCTTATTACATGAAAATCAACAAAAGATGCAAACTTGAAAAGGAACCATCAACACAACTATTAATCCTCAAATAGAACGTAAAGATGACTTCCAGAAAATCAATGAGCAATATTTATGTTCTTTGTGGCTTTTACTCACGCTGCGAACACACCAGCAGCAAAATGACCACCAGCCAGAAGAAATATAGCACAATCCAGAGGTCTACCAAACACCGCTACGGAAACTGTAGATTCACCAGGATGGAGAATACAACTGAAATAAGATTAACTACGGGCACCCCTCACTAGACTCTTTGCACTCATTCCATTCCTACTACTGAGCAGTCAATTTATATAACTCAACACCACACATGCAAATCCCACAACTCTGCGCATTCGATACGTTCCCTGGCATCGATCAATCGCGAAGATTTTTTTATTTACACATGACTTCAGCTGCTGCTTGAACATTTTTGGTCTTCTTTATGAATATCGCCGACTTCAGATGAAGTCGATTTTCATGAAAGTAGCCGCCCTAAGACATTCCCAGATCCCCACTACAAACAGGTGTCATCTTTTGTAGGTTGCAGGTAGCAAGCCGGTTCCAACAAAGTCTTATGTCTACCTACCCCGAAAGCATGTAGAGCTCGGCTAGCCAAAGACAAGATGAACTAGGATCTTACGAATATTGAAGGGCTTCATAGTTTTAACCAAACTGGAACCAAAATATATTAATGAAACTTACCGATAAATCGAAAACACTTCGTCGTTATGAACAAAATAAATATGGCTTGAACTAGACTTTAGCGGTACATCGCCATCATCTGAATCACCGGAATCCGTTGACGACGTTACATCATCTACTGAAAAATTTCTACACAGTATTCGGAAACATTTGTCATTGCTTGTCTTGGTTCTACAAGGACCTTTTTGAGTTGGATACAGTAATTCAAACTTAACAATTTTTACGCATTAAAATTTGATTACTCACCTCTGCGCACAAATTCGTTACATGTCCAAGAATAAGGTATTAGGATTCTGATCGACTATATATTCATATATGTATATACATATGCATATATATGCATGTACATACATATGTACGAATATAGATGTATGCACACATATGTATATACGCTCACCTTCTCTCCTTTTTTCTCCTAACTCTTCGAATTGATCTTCACTCAGTAGCGGCCGCCCTTTGACCGCATTGCGCGCATTGAATCTAAAAGTACATCAAAGTCCACTCGGTTTGGAACCAGTCAAAAACGTCATCAAATATGTGAAATGTTCTATCGATAGAAACCAAATCCCCACCACGCATAAAATCTCTGCTGCTGTCCAGTTATTACGATTTTTTGGCATGTCTTTAATGAAACCACTTCTATGATGCTGAGATATTTGCAAAACTGCAAGTTATCTTTCAAGAATGGAGACCACAATATCAACAACTATTGCCCAATCTGAGAAACTCAAAAGATTGACTTTCTATAAACCACGGCATAATAATCGATCATCTGTATGCATGTTCATACAAACTGCCTATTCTTAGCCGAAGCAAGGCAGTCATAGATATTCTTATTGTTGTTGCTTTGTTCATTGGAAGACGTTTCGACCACTTCGCCTTTCTCAGAACCTTGCCATTGGACCACCCGTGTGCTGTTCACGACGGATGATCCCTAATCCTGGTCAACAAGAATAAGAACATCTGTACAACCTCGCGTCGGCTAAATAAAGGCAGTTCGTAAGAATGTATTGCTCAACCTGCTTGCTGCCTGTCGTCTAAAAACATTCCTCTATAGACATCCTAAGCAGGATTGCGAGAACATTGGACGGAAGGCAACCATGTGAACGAGCAGGGTTTCGAAAAGGGTTTGCTACGATGGACCACGAAGACCCGGTAACATGACCCGTTAAAGTATCGCGAGAGTACAAGAGACCACTGTGTCTTATTTTCATGGATTCGGGGTAAGCTTTCGACTCAGTTGAGATAAATGCAGTTATGGGATCCCTGGACAACCAGCATGTCCCTAGCCAGTACATAGAGATTCCTCGTGAACTACAAAAAATTTCACAGTCAAGATATCACCATTCTACAACGATATTAACATCGACGTCAGAAGAGGGGAAGGCAGGGCGATACCATCTCGTCAAAATTATTTACCGCCAGCCTCGAAAACGTCATACGAACATTGGAATGGGATAATATGGGAGTGAAAATAGATGGTTGGCAGTTACACCATCTTCGCTTTGCTGATGACATCGTTCTTATAACATCAGACATTAGCCAAACGGAACGTATGCTTGCCGACTTTGATGAAGCCTGTGGAATGATTCGTCTTCGACTAAATCTCACAAAAACGATGTTTATGAGAAACGGATTGGCTTCGAATGCTCCATTAACACTCAACGGAACGAATATCTCCGAATGCTCTAGTTATGCCTATATATGTCAGGAAATCAACATGTTGAACGACTTAGCTCCAGAGTTGAGCAGAAGAAAAAGAACGGCTTGGAGAGCTTTCAAGAGCATCGGGGATGTAGTGAAGAGAACAAACAACACCCGACTCCGTGCCCGCTTTTTCGACTCAACGGTACTTGTTGCCCTAACGTATGCCTCAGAAACCTGGTTGCTGCGTAAACAGGATGAAAAATCACTTAACGTTATTGAACGCGCAGTCGAAAGGACGATACTAGGAGTATCCCGTGTCACGCTAGTAAGGGAAGGGATTCGAAGGTCTGACCTGCGTCAACGATCAAAAATCACAACGCTTACTTTTTATTTTCTGCCTTCTATAATTTTAATGGGAGGGTATTAAGCGAAATACAACCACAAGATTGCTGAGATATTTGGAACGAACGCGCTATTGTCCTTTACGGGAAGTAACCCACCGCAGACACCTGCGGTCCGGAGTTTTGCAAATTTCTCAGCACCATTGAAGTTATATTTCACAATGTATACCCTACCGTTAAAAAGAGTAGGCAGCAAATAATAAGTTAAAATTGTGATTATAACTGCGGCCTCAGCTTAACTGGGTTCGTTGCCGATTTGGGCCCCCCAGATCAATCCCGCTGAAGGGTGACTGCTGATGGCAAAAGATCGATAGAACTAGCTGAGAGACAGGCGAAATGAAGAACCCGCATGGTGTAGTGGTGAGAGCGCCTCCCTGGAAAGGACAATAGCGCGTTCGTTCTCCACCGCAGACACCTGCAATCCGGAGTTTTGCAAATATCTCAGCATCATTGAAGTTATATTTCACAATGTATACCCTGCCGTTAAAAAGAGTAGGCAGTAAATAATAAGTTGAAACCACTTCTATTAGATACTTCTAAAGCTTGATCACGTCCCACCAGTTAGCATTGTTTCCTATGAAGTAATTCTAGAACTTTGACACAAGTCATCCACTAATATTTGTACATCAAACAACAGCACCAATAAAACGATAGAAATGCTAAACTACCGATGCCACTGACTACGATAATGTTCGACGAGATCATCACGGTCTACCACTTCCAATACGCAAGAACAAGTGGTACATTTATGTCCTGCTATTGCTTGAAAAAGAGACATATTAAAAAAGATTCTGGCTCAAACATTACGTAAACGATTGCACAACTCACTTAACTCCTCAAATGGATCGAATTCCTCGTGCTGTCCAGTAAATCCCTCAACAACCGTGGGCCTCGTGTTCAACTCCTCCACATCTCCAGTTTGCCAACGCAAATCGCGTAGCGGAATAACGGCCTGATTTACAACATCAACTTATTACAATTTATTTATATCGCTATAGAAGCGTTTTAGTTACAGTTCACAACCGTTGGTAGATGCATCCCATATCAAACTAGCAGAGGTGTGGAAGAACACCAAATAAATATGACTGCTCCAATATCCTGTTGAGGAAAGAGACTATGGAGTAACTAACCTACTACGAGAAGCAACGTCTACAATGCAAAATCACCAAAACGATAGGGAAAACGTGCAAAACTGCTCCTAACACAGTCTTTCGCCAGTATAACTTACATATGGGAGGATTATTCCTAAAAACATGACGATAACTATGACGTAATTGCGTAGTGTAATCGAGAATAACACGAATAAGGATAGTCATGAGAAATAAAGACAACAATGATGAAATATAATGAAGCAATTTCGTGGATGAAATGAATTTTCTGAAGCTTAGAATAACTGCAGCGAAAAAATGAATACATAAGTAGACGATATGACCCATATAGGATACATTTCTACTGACCTCTCTAGAATAGTTCTAAGATTTAGTTCACTATTATGCTTCTTAAATACCACTATTAGTAAAGAGATAAACGGCAAATATGAAAGACGCGTTTATTGCGTACACTTAATGTCACCAGGACTAAACTTAAGTTTAGCAATGTACTTCCGAAGATCATTGAATTCTATACACAGTTATTCCAAGAAAAGAATACAGAGCTTAGGCAGATAACAGTCACAACCAGGGTTATTGAACACTACGTGGTCTAGTCGGATACAAATTGACAGCACCCGCAATGGCTTCCATCCATGCATTCAGATCATCCAAATTCGACGCGCAAACGCGGTAAACGGTATGACGGCCTTCTACCATTTTACCGGTCTGCTCAGTTTTACACGCCTTTATTCGACCATCTTCAGATAAAGAAAATATCTAAACACGAAATAACTGGCTTACCAAATAACAATATACTATGGTGTCTCTATAACCACACTAACATTTCTTGCAACTGCAATATAAAATTGAGAAATAATGTTTAAAATTGCTAAATAGGGTCATTGATGGAAATGGTAGATAGAAAACTAGCTGCGAGAGAGACGAAACGAAGGACCCGCATGGTGTGGTGGTGAATGAGTCAGCCCCTGGAAAGGATGATAGTGGGTGGGTGCGATGCCCGTCGCAGACACCAGTGGTCCCAAATTTTGCAAATACCTCAGTATCATCATGATTGTATTTCACATAATACCGTGCCATGAAAAATTGTAGTACGCAACAAATAAAAGTTAAGAATGTTCAAAATTTCCTGATCAAAACCCTAGAGCTGACAAAACACCCAAGTCTTAAAAAACAATGATAAAACTAATGAAAAGCAGAAAAACAGTCAGCGACTGAACTTGTAAAAACTGTGAACGAAGGCACTCACCTCAAACATAAATGGACGAGAAGGCGAGTCTACTCGTCGTACACCCACGTTTTGAAGCGGAATAATACCACGCGGTTCCTTATCTGTTGTTTGATCAAAATAGTACAAGCATGAGTCGTTTAGAACGAACCTATGCAAAATCACTTAGGACGTATGCAACATTATGCTACCAAGAGGTACTTTACATCTCTATATTTAAAGCTACCCTCTCACACATGAAAAACAGCATTCACGAAGCAACAGTTCAAAGTACTCAACGAACCATCTCCGCTTCCACGACAAAGGTCCAGAAATAAATTGGCTACTACTTTGCTTATACAACCATCCTTCGCGATCCGGATGTAGAAATATGTTGTCCAAACATGCTACATCATCACAAGGAATTTGAAACTCCCGTGTCCTTATCGACTCGAAGATTTGTGATAGAGTGGCAGTATCCACTGAGCCAGATTCCAAGAGCTCCTAGGATAGAGACCACAAATTTTGAGAACGAAAAAATCACGACGGAGAACAAAACCTGTTTTTTTCTAACTTTTAACTTGACAGAAGTGTTCCCTCTCATCCAATATTGATTGAGAGCTCCTTCTGAAAGTTTATTCCAATTGTTTTTCTAGAAACTCACTTTGTTCATGCTCTGGTATCGCTCTAAAGTTGGTCTATCCTTCACGTTTGGATTATGCAGTAGCGTATTAAGCATAACACAAGAGTAAGAAATGGTGTAACATGTGTCCGCATTAGTGAAGACGCCTTAAACATCATAATTCACTACTTTATTCGCTAATGTAAAACATTTCTATCACTTTTACTTTCGAGCTTTTTTAAGGAACAATGATTTTGCAACTATTACAACAAGCATATGTGCTTAACTATTGGTGCCCATATGACCCACATCATTAGTAGAGAGGACGATACTGGTCCTATATCACTTCTCTCCTTATTGGAATATTTATTTTGCTGCAAGGAGCTCTTTTTCATCCTTTTTCTTCTTTTTAAATCAGACCAAACAAGGAACTTACTGTTAACTCACATTCGAGATTAATGTTGCATTTTTTGTTAGCTCGTTTCAACAAAATTATCTATTTTCAAAACCTGCTTCATTAAAATATCGGTCTTCGCAAAACCTAAGAGGTCCTTTCATTGAAATATATTCTTAGAAAGTAACTAGAACTACAGAAAAACATGTACAGTGGATCCTAGCACTTCTCACATTCGATTCATTTCTTTAGCTTTTCCATCTTTTATGTGTGGGTTCGGCTGATGCTTGAGGTTCACCATACAAGGCGGATTTCCATTTCACTTTGTATGTCACAGAATGCTGATGGAGATTCTCTCTGGAGATCTGCGATAGCCAGGCTGCAGCGTTCCCAATTGGATTGCAGAGAGTAGTTTTTCTCCGAGAAATCCAGTGCCAATTTCCCAGCCCCGAAGGGACGAAAGGCTTAGCAGACGTATGGCGAGATCGAATTAGTACCATGCTCTTGATGATCGACATCACTACCACTGTGCTCTCCGCCTCATCTGAGACTAGTAATAATTATTCTAAATTGAGGCCAATGAGATGTTCACATTTCTAAACTTTTCAGATTCACACAAGATCAATATAGATCCAGGGAGTGACATTTAAACAACAAATACGCCGCATGTGAGCTTTTCCAATTTCAAACCAATCCCTACTAAACTAACAACTAAAAAAAATGGCTGAGAAAAAGGCAAACCAAGGGTCTTAGTAGTGTGGTGAATAAAATGTGAGCTGCCGGAAAGAATAATCACGGTTATGAAGCTGACCTGGAGTCCAATTTTGCAAATACCTCAGCACCATTGTGGTTGTAAACCTACCTTTGTTAAATAATCGACTAAATCTACTGAAAGACCCACAGAGCACACCTCTACTAAGTTCAGCGGATTATGGCCGAAAAAGTCCTTCAGAATGACTTTCTCTGCGTTAATAGGTGCATGTACAACTTGAACTCGCCTTTGCTCGTTTGGTTCTCTGTTACTTTACGTTCTGACGTGACTCAGATTATCAACTACTACCCTTCGTTGACGAGATATACATGTAATTTTATAATGAAAAGCTAAAAATGGCCGATGTAAAAACTTAAAGTTGTAGAAGAAAAAGTAAACCGAATACAAACACGCCTTCATTTGTCGCCACGTATTGTTTTGCAAATCGCTCCATAATTCGGTCAATTTTTTGCGACTCGCCAGGCAAACGAAACGACCATAGGAATGCTCTGCAAAGTAGGACAAGCATTTCTGCACTTTTTGACAACACAATAGACAATCTCAACTCTTTTATTTACTGCCTCTTCTTTTTTAATGGCAGGGTATGTTGCGAAATATAACTTCAATGAAGGTGATTGTTAACGGCAAAAGATCGATAGAACTAGCTGAGAGACAGGCGAAAAGAAGGACCGGCATAGTGTGGTGGTGAACGCGTTACTCCCCGGAAAGGACAATAGCGCGTTCATTCCCCACTGCAAGCACCTGCGGTCCGGAGTTTTGCAAATATCTCAGCGTTACAATACATTGTGACGTTTAGTTACTAAACTTGCTGAACTAAACTAGGATTCACAACATCTACTATGAGAAATAAACCTGTAGTAGACAAGCGAAGAGAAAATCACATGGAGGAATTTTCTCTCTTAAACAGGAACAACGATCAGCGGTTCGAAGAGCGATAGATACTTAAAGAACAAGGAAAGGTTAGCCCCGAGTTGACAAACGTAACTAGGAATATAAGCTACTAGAGCACTGGTGAACCATGAATGTGCATGCTGAGCGACGAGTTCTTCGTCAAGTCAAATACCACCACATGCGCTCGCTGCCTAACAACTCGTCCACATATTTGCCGATTATCAAAAATCCATTAACATTACCGATATAGATGTTATTTCTTTTCAGTATTTGTGGAGAAAGGATTGGGCTAGTATAGTGAAAAACTTTCTGATGTGCAACAGACCATTGTGGACAATGAATACGAGAAAAAAAAAGCTCGAAAAAGGATACTCAAAGAAATCTGGTTGGTGCTAAATTAATCCGACGTGATTCATTAACTAATTCATTGACACGAAAACTGTTCAATTTTTGGCCTAGCAAATTCTTTCAACGTTCTGGCAAGCAAATGATAGACGAAATGAATAATGAACACAAACGAAGACAAACACCGTAAATCTAAAAAGAATGTAATGTTTGATGACGTGTAAAAGCGTCCTGCAACAACCAATAGAATGGGCACACAAGTTCCGTCCAGCGTCAAACAGAACATTGTCCAAATTTAGTAACAGCTACCCAAACTCACAAGCATAACGACATTCGGAATATGTCAGCTTCCTGTGTAAAGGGCGGGTGTGGTGCAATCGTCGGAGGTGCCCTGCGACACACACGTGGAATCGATCCCCGTGCCCATGGGCCACCGAGCCTTCCATCCCTTCGGGGCCGGCAAATTGATACCGGACTGTCTGGTAGGATAGCAGCACTGGCTCGATACATCTTTAGGCCACCGCGAGTCCATGTAAAGGCCAGGTTTGTATGCATTCGATCACCTCCAACGATGCTCTACGAAGTTTAATGCATAGCACGTCTCTCAGGGATTGACCAACGCCGAGAGCTTTACCTCTTGTCCTTCTACGTATGACTATCATCTGCCGAAACAAATCAAAATAAAGTCAAATGTTAAGTAGGATCAAAGGATAAAGTTGTGTGAGATAAGCGCTATTTTCTGGTTGACAACAACAATTAACTACAAGAGTTAATTCGAGCTCTCATCAAATGATTACAACGTAGCACATCTAAAAAATCAAAAGTTAAACCTATTTCCTTTCATTTGATCTATAAGCTCTCAAAAATCACTGCCAAATTAAGACAACAAAGTAACATATCGCAAAAAGCGAAGAAAAAAGGAAACAAAAAGCGCCAAGCAAGACAAAACTGTTATTCAACACAAAAAAAGAAACGAAGACGAAAACAAAAACAAGAACGATCCGAAGTATTCAACCGAGAGGAACATAAAGAAAAAGAAAAAATAACAGGAAACCTCACCTCAATGCATCGACTATGAACATGTCCCTAAACGAGTGGCACAGGACGAAATGATCGAGAATCTCAAGGCAAAACGGGTCATGCGACCCGAGTAATTCGCCAATTGCAGTTTTTGACAAACCTTCACCCTACAAATCCATTATTAGTTTAGGAACTGTTCTATAATCTTTTGCAAAACGATTCTTCGAAAAATATGAAAGCAACGAACATGTTTAGAACTTAGACTACTGACAATCACTTTACCTTAAACAACCACTGAGCAATGGCGGACGGTTGGCGACTCAGAAGACCACGATCGGTGAGATATTCAATGCCTCGTAGTGGATCCTGATTGAATTTCTTCTTGCCCGCAAAGATGAGCTTGTGTCGCGATCGTGATCCCTCATCTACATAATACAGCGATTCGAGTTCAGCATCAACGTCTCGGAGCTAAAAAAACGACTAATAATAAAGAAAAAATATGTTCAATTTCTGTTTACTGCCTACTCATTCTTTATAGGATGGTATTATGTGAAATACAACTACAACGGCGCTGAGATGCGAGCAAAGCTCGGATTTTTCGAGCTTCGAAGCTCACCTGGGGTTCTGAGTTTTGCTCATGTCTCAGTGTCAACGTGAAAAAAGTATGACGAAGAATCGTAACTTTTTCACTTACTGCCTACTACAATTTTCACAGCAGGGTATTACGCGAAATCAACGACAATGATGCTGAGATATTTGTAAAACTCCAGAGAGCAGGACTCTGCGGTGGAGATCGAATAGGTTATTACGCTTTCAGCGGCTAACTCCTTCACCACAACACCTAGTGCGTCCTTCATTTCGCCTTTCTCTTAGCTAGTTTCCTATTCACCGGTGCCACCAGCAATCACCCGTCAACGGGACTGATCTGCGACAACCAAAAATTATTGTCCACAGTAAAAATTTGGTTCTACATGAAAGAAAAGTAAAAAAATAGGGTATAAAGTTCTTCTCGTCATAAAATGACCTTCAAATTTAATGGATCTGTAGCAAGAAAAAAACATAAAGACGTATATTAGTAAGTGGCAACAAAGGATATGACCTGTACTGGCTAAAGGACATATATAACCACCGTAACAACAATAACACGGTACCTTACCCAAGTCGTTGAAGGTTTTCATACCAGTAAACAACTTAAGGTCTTCTAAATTAGTACAAGTGATCTGCCGAAGAAACAGATGTATGGTAATTGTATTTGCATCCAGCTAATGAGAAACGAATACGCGGACACTGCTCGTAGGAATCACCTCAACTAAACAAAAATTAAGTAAAAAACCGAAAAGTGGAACAGGGAACGGGTTTCGCTCAAAACTTCTCCAGAGATAAACGTGTGGACGAATGACAGTCCTAATAAGATGCAAACAATACGAATGGAAAACATAAATGTAGAAAAATGATGAAACATGAGATTTAAAAACAGAAACAAGAGCAGATAGGTCAAAAAAATGTTTACACATGAAAACTTGGCAAACAAGAACTAATTCCTAGTTCAATAGAGAGGAAATGTCATGAAGGCCGCTGATAGAGAAGAGGGTAAAACAGTATAACTTCTAAATTTCGAAGTGCCAGATAACTATTTCCAGAAGGCAATTAATCTTTGACATTACTGACAAGAATCAAAAGGATAAAAAAAGAATAAAGCTCTCGGCGTTGAACAATCCCTGATGGATGCGCCATGTATTCGACTTCATTAAGCATCGTTGGAGGTGACCTAATGCATATGTGGCCTTTACAATGGCTCACAAAAGCCTACCGATGTATCGAACCAGTGTTGCTATCCTACCAGAAAAGTTTGGTACCAATTTGCCGACCCCGTAGAGATGGAAGGCTTGGTGAACCTATAAGGCGGAGATCTATCCTATTCGTATTGTAGAGCGCTCCCGACAAGCACCACACATGCCCTTAACCACCGATGATGTTCCACAATCTCGTAAACTATCCGCCAATGAAAGTGTAATAAATGAATAACGTAATAATAACATTATGTGGGCACATTGTTACTCACTAGAATGGTATTTATGAATATATCGTCTGAAGGGCATGATAAGCTGACTCATCATGAACCGCACAAAAAAAGACTAGGTTTCTAGCAATAAGTAATACTTACTTATTATACTACTAGTAACACTTATTGCTAGCAGATTTTGCACAAGTAAGAACAAACACTGCAGATCACAAATAACTAATAACAATATGGATAACACAACCACAACGTTGCTGAGATATTTGCAAAACTCCGGACCGCAGGTATGTGAGGTGGGGATCGAACACGCTACTGCTCTTCTTCGGGGGCTAACGCGTTCACTACCACACCATGTGAGTGTCTTTCGTTTCACCAGTCTTTCAGCTAGTTTTCTATCAACGAGTACCATCAGCAATCACCCGTCAACGTGATTGGGACGACATTACTGTGGTTGTATTTCGCATAATACCTTGCCACGAAAAATTGTAGTAGGCATATTAGGCATAGCACGATCTGGGGTATATGGATATGTGTGGATAATTTCCTACCAATTCTCCCAAATAACATGAGAAAACTAGAAGAAAAAACGACATGAATGACCTAAAAAAAAACTAAGACCTCAAGCATACCTCATTCTTGATGTGTTCGATTTCGCCCATGAGCTCCATTTTTCGCTTCCGGAGGCCACGTAGCTGACATACCTCTTCTTCGGTAAGATCAGCCGGATTGAACGTAACCGCCATCGTTCAATCACCATATACAAATGTAATGTGTTCGATACCTATTCAAATTAGTTGAGAGTACAACTACTGGACGACAGAAAAAGTTTCTGAACCCCGGATGGTTTCGAACGAGGAATTCGTGGAGTTAAGCACCGCGCAATATTGCAATATTTCACCCTAAAAGTGAAACTTTAAAGAAACAACAGCGGTCCACTACAAGAAAAGCACAAAAGACACTTGCAAACGATGCTGGTAACATAAAGTACCATTCCATTGCAGGAATCGAACTTTGGATTACACAACCATGATAAACTCAAGGGAATACATTCAATTTCGATACAGCGTTTCCTCCTTCTCTGTTTCTATTGTCTTCAATTGTCCACTAGTTGAACTGGTAAACATAACTCGACAACTGGTAAAAGAAATACAATATCTAACAAAAATAAAAGAAGTGGAACCAAGGATAAAAGACAAAACTAAGGTTATGAGGTAAACGAACGAACCCAGGATTTAATATGGGTGCTCAATGGTATATAACGAAGCCATAGAAACCACAGAAACGTAAGTACAGAGAAATAAACACAGAATACTAAGATTTTAACCGTTAAGAAGAGATAAGTGACATAAAATAAGCTTAAGGGACATTTAGGGAGCTTAAGGAAAAGCTTGGTTGTCGCGAGAAAACAAAACAACTGTCTGAAACAACAACGATGTTTGGAAATGCTAATAATACTAATAAAACATAGAATAGAATAGAATAGAATAGAATAGAATAGAACGGATAAAAACAATAATATCATATAAAAAAGATAAATGCTCCAGTACAACTCGAAGGGATCACCATATGCGTCAACGCGCAACATATGGCGCATAGTAAGTTCCGCTGTGAACTTAACAGTATTGTAAAGTTTATTAACGTTCTTAACAAATCTCTTCCGTTATTTGTAACATATATAAATACAAAAAATGACCATCATTTCAGAATGTCTAACAAAGAGCTCTTACTGGGAACTTCAATGCCTCCTTTCCAACTATTTCCTTCTGACCGGTTTGATATGGCATACAGTTTTTATCTTGTTTTATTTTCAGTGAAGATACACTTACCTTGTTGCTTCGTTTATACATGGCAATGTCAATGCAACAACCTATAACTACTGAATTAAGTTAGTATCTGAACAATGGAAGAGATATAATGGCTACGAACAGGTGAGAGTAAGCTGAGAATGTGTCAGCAACATTTACTGAGAGATACTGAGCTGACAATGCATAATTTATGACCGATAGAATAATAATAAGATAAAAAAGAATAGATAGAGCCCTCGACGTTGTTCAATCTCTGAGGGATCCGCCATGCATTCGACTTCATCAAGCATCATTTGGAGGTAATTGAATGCATATCAATAACTCGCGGTGGCCTACCAATGTACCGAGCCAGTGCTGCTATCCTCTCAGACAAATCTGGTACCAATTTGCCTACTCCGAAGGGATAGAAGGCTTGGTGAGCCATGTGCGTGGGAATCGATCCCATGTGTGTGACAAGGCGCCTCCAACTACTGCGCTACTCGCGCCTTTTTTAACAAGAATAATAGGACAAGAATAGAACAATAGAATAACAATAGTAATTAATGGCTTACAGAAGCCATATCTACTCTGTATGTACGTACACATTCATTACTGCATAGTGGAAACATTGCGCAATATTTGGATAACAAACTAACGGTGAAACCGATTGTCTCTAAAATTTCTGCACAACGCTTTACTTAGTCAGTAATTTTGAGCAATAAGTCTTTATTTGTAACTGAAAATTACTTACAATATAACGTCTTTTCCCTAACGAGTCAATTGAGAGATGGAACCCAATCGATAATTCTGAAAACGTAAAAGCCTGGAAGATATGAGAAATTTTTCGCATTGACAGAAAGACTAACATGAAAGGTAGAAGAGAAAAATACTTAAATCCAGGAAATAACAGAAAAATCGTTCATGGTAGTTTTTGATCCGTTAAAAAAGTTGTGATGACGGAAATCCACTAGTAAGATATTAAATCCTTAAACGACGGTAAACCTTAAATCCTTGGCATTACCGAAACCATACAATTTAGTTTGGAAGACTACGCATTCATCTAACTACATAAACATTGATACTATCCAATAATCGATCCAATAACATCGAATCGACTGGCCAACATGACCATTTTAAAATTGAACTGATTGGACACATCGACACAATCGACTCTTGATAGAAATGATTCCTGCATAATTTTGTAAACCGACTTCTGTGTAATCGATAAGATTCAAGCAATAAGATTTTGCTATTCAAGAGGATGCGTGGATAGAACAAAGTATTATTACAAAATATTGGTAGTACATGTGAATGCAGCAAACTATAGTTACTGTTTATTCACCGCTGATTACCCTTATTGGAGTTCTCCTTGACGACACGAAAGAATCCATTGTTATAGGTGAGCAGATTTTGCTTCACCTTTCTCATCAAGAATGCCGTAACAGTTTCTAGTGATGGTCCTTGTGCTGATGGAGAAGAGAACATACGATAGATACGATGCATACGCTCCGCCTTCACTTCTCCGTTATCGTGGTTAGCCTAAATACAAAACTTTTCCGACAATTCCTCTAAGTAATAATGAGGAAATAGATCCATTTTCAAACAACGATCAGTACAATTGCAAAAACCATAATGAGAACAATTTTAGAAAATTTTCTACGTATGAGCCTCGTAGAGTGCGGCTTTGGTCGCTAACAACTACGAGCATTAACTTATCCACCTGTATCAGCTGTCGAACCGTTGATCGTCGAGTGACTCAAACCAACAGTTCCGTGGTATTCTGCACTACGTTTGACATTCCGAGGAATCGAGGAATCTAGTCAATAACGGCTCTTGTACATTAGTTGTCGATAACACACATTACGTGTTCGGCGCACCTTATCTTAGACTAGCGTAAAGAATGGCACCTCTAACTTTTGATCGTTGACGTTGTTGTCACTCTTCTTCGACAATAACACGGTCTTGCTGGTCTTCCACTAAGTAGGAACTCTGCACTCTGACAGGTAGCATGTGAACGAACGAGTCAGCGCTTTTACGAGCACTGGCGGAAGGTTCTTCAGGTGTTCACATCTTATCCTGTTCAGACCTGGCGTTGTTCAATGCATCACCGACGAAATAACATGTCCGATTACAGAAGAGAGAACCGGTGGTACGATATAGCCATCTTTCTTTATTTCATGTGAGGACAAAAGGACACAACTACTGAAGAGATCCAAGCAATAATAGCAAATGATTTTCTTCAGTTCCTTTCTGGAGGTTGTACTGTTCCCTTTGGACGCCGGAGTGCAACAGTTTTGGTTTCGTAATTGGCTGTTTTTACGGGCTTTGCGAATGCTTTTCCCTAGCCACCGCAGCTTCGCTCATAACCACTGTCCTCTCTCTGAAAGACCTTCTTTCGCCACGCGTCTGCACTGTTTAGAAAGCTCGGACGTAAGCTAGCGGCAGCCAGTAGCTCGTGCGTTTCCACGTTGCCGTATCAACCCGAGTGTTTCTAGAGATAGACGTCTCCTCGTGACTTTCAAACTTTCAGATTTTATAGCGCTAACGTGAAGATGTTGAATGAGCCAATCGTATTCTTCGTCGATGTTATCGCGAGTTATCTTCCGAACAGCCAACTAATGAATTGAGTAAGTCTCAGTTTACGGTGGCTTTGGGAATTCGTTCTTTTGAATTAAGCCGCTTTTTCTCCCTTCCGAGAAAAATGAAATCTTGCACGAAGGAGGCGATGGTCTGATCTCGTGTAGGATTTTGATACAAGAGCGACATCGATTAGGCAAAACTTTCAAATTACTATAGGGTAGTCTATTTCGTTATGGTACTCCCCACTAGAAGACTCCCATTGAAGAGTGTATGGTTTCTCTGTAGAGCCTCTCCAAGTCCATACAGAACGTTTCGACGTCGTCTACGTCGTAGCTTGATGTCGGCGAGTAGGCGACGAAAATTGTCAAACCCTGTTTTAATCCACTTCTATTCAACCGCAAACGTCTGATTCATGTAGTTGTTCGAATGAATCGCTGTTCATGGGCAAACTCCCGTTGAGGATAACGGCCACGCCGAAAACTCCTTTACTGTCGCATGTTCGGAGGAACAGTTCTCCGGTTTCATAGACGACGTTGAGTTGGTGACCTGTTTTCGACTCAGCCAGCCCGATGATGTTGCACCTTATCCTTCTCGCCTTCATAATCAAGTCCTCTTTCGAGGACTCAGACGCAAGTAAGCGTGCATCATAGATACAGATCGTCATCTTAATCCCTTGTGATCTAGGCGACCCAGAATGGCCCCGAGATTTTAGCAGACTCTCCGCACTCGTCCTAAACAACGGTGCAGTATGGACGGTTATTTCGGGTTCAGCGCAGTGAGGCCCGTCTATTTTACTGTATTCAGCGTTTGATACCCACGCAGAGCTTTCTGAACTCTGAACATGAGGCCAGCTACACTTAGGGGTAGCTTGGCAGTCTCTCCCAGAGTAGATGAAAGGTTATTTTCTGGAGACGACTACTAATCGCCTCCCATATACTTCCCTATCAATTGATTGCAGACATTTGGCCGAATTTACTCGTAGAATATCATTCGCACAAAGGAGAACGCAGCCATGTACGGATGGATGAATACATCCTCGTAAGCACAAAAGGTTGTGTCTGTTTCACTAAAAGCAGGCACAATCCATCAGCATTAAAGGATAAAAGAAAAAAGCGTTCGAGGTTGATCAATCTCAAAGGAATGCCTCAGGCATTCTAGTTTATCAAGCATTATACAAGTGGTTGATTCCATACTTGACTACGACTTCCGATGAGCTGCCCAGGTATCAAGCCAATGTTTTTATCTGTCTATACAAATCCAGTATCAATTCGTCAAACGGGGTGACAGAAAACTTCGTGAGCTTGGGGAGCGTGGTCCAACCACCGACCGATTCAGTGCGTATTACAAGGCACTTTCGATTGCTGTTACAAGGAACCGTTGAACAATAATAAATAGGAAATAATCGTGGCCTTCGTTGAAATGCTGTGTTCGGTTGCAAATGATGAAACTCACAATAAAATTCTTTGTATAACACCAATATTGTTCTAAAGCATCTAGTGCATCGGTTGTCTCCTCTATTGCTCCCTCATCCTCGTCTGATTCATCATCGGCAGCACCACGTGATGTCGCCAACAAGGTTGGATTTGTCACCAACGACCACTCCTCAGCAGTTGCACCAGTTGGCAGACTCTGTGTGGTACAAAAGTAGAACATGATTCTTTCGAATGTACTTTAAGCATTTCCACTACCTAATTTGAGAAAGTTTGAGGAAATCTAATTGAAAAGGAGAATTTACACACATGTATCACAAGACCTTGAGATTTCCACCACTCTAATCGACGACGAGCAACTCCCTTTGAAATAGAAAGCCGTTCAGCTACCTCAGCTATAGTCCAGCTTTCTGAAGATAAAACCAAGATAAAAAATCGTCAAAATGTATCATCAGTCACAACGAAGTTGAGATATCTGCAAAACGTGGACTCTAGGCCAGATCGAACCGCAATTACCCCTTTCGGAGATCCACATTTTACGCATGGCACCATTGAGGCATTCGTTCTGCCCTTCTCAGCCAGCATTCCATGATTTAAGTCATTAGAACTAAAATCCGTCAGCCATAATCTAAGTCATTAATAATGAAATTCTCCTTTGATAGTATTTAGTTCAGTAAACTTTTACTAAGCATGTTCCCGACTGTGTAAATCCGACCAACAGCTGCCCTTTGAGATACTTCTATAAAAGACTTCTTAGTTTGTCACGGGCATGTTATGGTACACACGAGGCAGAATTCCAGAGTTTGACATGTTTACATAAGTTTTAGTAAATCATTTAGTAGCAGGATACTAATGTGAAGTAGAACCACAACATTTTTGAGATAGCAACAAAACTCGAGACCTTTCCTGAGCATTGAACCCGCGATTATTCCTTCCGAGGTCTCACGTGCTATTCACCACACCAATGGAGGCCCTTTCTTTGCCTTCCTCTCACCAGTTTCTTAATCTAACGGTGATGTCAGCAATCACCCGTGAACGGGAATGATATGGGGTGCACAAATTGGCACTGAACCCAGTTAAGCTGAAGCTGTAGTCAAAATTGCAATGTTCTTAATTTTTACTTAATGTATACAAAGCAAACAAGGACCTCGGTAGGTGTAGCCGCTTACACGTGAACCCCGGAAAGGGTAATCGCGGTCCGATCTCGCCTGAGGCCCAAGTTTTGCAAATATCTCATCACCATTTTGGTTGTATTACACATAACACCCGGCCTTAAAAATAACGGGCATTTGGTAAAAGTTATTCATTATATCACCAATGCTATACAGCCAACAATACATCCTTTCTAACTACATCATTCCATCCACTTAAAAAAATCTCTCGGTCTTGATCAGTCCCTGAGGGATACGCCACACATTCGACTTCATTAAGCATCGTTTGGAGGTGATCGAATTCATATCTGTCCTTTACAAGAACTCGCGGTGGTATCGAACCAGTGCTGCTATCCTCCCAAACAAGTCTAGTACCAATTTGCCGGCCCCGGAGGGATGGGAGGCTTTATGACCCATGAGCGCGGGGATCGATTCCACGTATGTGTTGCAGGGCGCACCCGACCACTGCGCCACACGCGCCCTTCCATCCATCCACTTAGTTAATACTTTCTTTACTATTAGTTCTGCTACATCGTTGTTGATATACTTATTACACCATATTACACTTGCATATTACGTTTATACTTATTATGAAACAAAAGCTCTCGGCATTGATCAATCCCTTAGGGATGCACCATGCATTCGACTTCATTAAGCATCGTTGGTGATTGAATGCATATCTGGCCTTGGCCTTTACAATATCTGGCCATTCGCGATAGCTTGCCGATGAATCGAGCCAGTGATGCCATACTCCCAGACAATTCTGGTACCAAATTGCCTAGCGCGGAGGGCTGGAGGGCTTGGTTAACCTGGGTTGCGGGATAAATTTCATATGTATTGAAAGGCGCCTCTAACCACTTCGGTACACGTCTCGCACATTATATTGCACTTAGTATAAATTCACGAAACATTTTCCTCACTATAGGTTACCACACTTCCCATTACAATGTATATATATATATATATATATATATATATATATATACTTGATACTTGAATGGCCCGTCCTCACTGGTTGTGTGGGCCCCAGCATAATCTCCATTTTTCGGAGATTTGCTGGTTAAGCCATTATGGTTCCCTAGAGTCCCGAAGTCGGCCTGGCCAAAGTCTGCTCCAGGTCTTCACCACCATGGGCAGTTGCAGCCTTTGTGAATCAGAGGGAAATTTACCACCATGTTTGATAACAGGACGGTGGTGGATCCTGGTATTAGTTTACTCTTAGCTAGGCTTCCTGATAAAAACGCCGGATTCCTTCTCAGATTGGGAGACCCTGCCAAGGGATGAATCCCCCGTTGTACATCGCAGTCCGACACCCAGGAACACCTCTCAGCCACGATGAGGTGGTAAACCGGTGGTAGGATATATATATATATATATATATATATATAAATATATATATACATATATATTAATACCATGGTTACGGTGTATCTAATAGACAGATTCGTTCATATATAATTAGAAGGTATGATAGTACTACAAACCTTTTTCCAGGTAGAGATATAGAACAGCAGCGATGGGATTTGGTACTACTTTATTGACCTCGACATCTCCCAACCTTAATGAAACTTCTACGCACCTGAAATCAAATCTGTTAGGAAGGTGTACGCAACCAACATAAACTAACATCGTTCAAAAAATAAGCTTAAAAATTCACAGCAATGTTACTCTGAAGTCATATCAACACTAATCTACACAAAAAATTCGCTGACTCACCCAACACCTCTCATCCATTGTAGACGTCGCGACTCCTTATGATCCATAAATGATTTCTCATACTCAACCAACGCTTCTTCGAGAGCTGGCGGAAATTCCTGAAATTATAATGTAAGGAAGAATGTAGGGCAGAAATAACAGTCGTTCTCTTTTTTTTTATGGAAATCCTGAGGTTGTTATTCAGCACACGTTTACAGAAATAATTCTTTTTTTTCTTCCCCTACAGAAATAATTCATACAACACAGCGGTAGCTGACGTTTCGGCAGTATCGCCTTCTTCAGAGCCTGGAAGGGTACACTGATATGTAACTTACTAGGTCAAACGATGCAACAGCACAAACAGAAAGATGAAAGCCTGAGCAATAATTATACGATCACCTGCTTCTCGAAAAACCCACGGTTTTTTTTTTGGAAGGCAGGAAAGGAGGAAGGTTGAAGCGTTTGAACTAGTAAATTATATATGTGTACCCTTCCGGGTTATGAAGGCGATACTGCCGAAACGTTTTGTACCATTGTGTTGTATGTGTCATATTCGTAAGGAAGTAAACGTGTGCCGAATAACAACCTCGAGATTGCTATAGAAAAAAGAACGACAGATTTATAATCCAATGCCGAAGTTAATAGAAAGTCGATCTTGTGAACAGAAATAACAGTTCTGGAGTGAACCAAATTCACTAGTCCTATCAACCTGCTGCATCACATTGAAATCTCATCCACACTTTCTCGACGGCGCCTAACCTAGAGTTTCCTCCGGACTTGATGACGAATAATTTTGAGTTTTTGCGGACTTAGTTTCGTGAAAATAAACAATAACTTCTTGACAAATAAAGGAGTAATTGGGTTGCAAACATGGATGGATTCTAGACAGGACTATGTTTTATCGTGAATGATATTTATGGTGCTACTTACCATATGTTACTATAGTCCATCACACAAAAATATTACTATCAGCGCACGGAAATGCTCTGCAATTCTTATGGGTGTCTATTTCAGTGTTTTTTATACAGGCACGCTCCACGCGATAACTATGGTTCACTATAGCCATTAGAACTAAATATTAGTCGAATAGCACCCAAATTTCTAGTTAGCGAACTCGCTTGGAAAACAGTTTTTTGTATTTTCTAAGTGAAGAATATAGCTTTTCCTTACCAACGCCCAATGTATTATCTGTATAAGCTATCAAGTTATAGGAAAAAATTTAAGAAAATAGTTCTGCGTGTCAAAATAAACCACCGAAAAAGTCTTACCGGTCACTCCCGCAAAATCACTGCGGCATATGTCACCCGTCGCGAGTGTTGATTAATACAAAGAGAAAAAATCTATTCTATCTGAACTTGTGCTAGCTACCCAAGAGGAAAAAAGAGCCTGGTCGCTCGAAGATGAGAGTTTACAAGCAATTAAGTGACTGCGCGGAAATGAGCGGTTCAGATGATTTCGTGGGTAATATAATCAGCAATCTTTGCAGGCTACAATTGAACCAAATTTACACAAACGGGTCGTAACCAGTAAACTCACTGTAACCGTTTCTGAATCGATTTTCGGCCAGAAATGAGAAGATATTATGCAAGCGGATACTGGAACACACTGGAAGAGAGATCTATTTGTTTGCAGTGAACGTTACACATTTTCTAAATAAAAAAACTGGCCACGAGAAGAAGAAAATATAATCCACAAACCTTTCTACCTAAGGCGGTTCTGTCGATCCGCTGACTATCTCGAATATCTTTCAACATCACTTCGCACTGTTGCAATTCACCTTCATTGAACCGAAGCTTGAGTAAATCCAAGTACCGCCGTTCAAAAATCGGCTAAAAAGCAACCATAGTTTAGATTCGTAAGCTTGTCTAACATTGTATCCTGTAAGATCATTAATAAATGTAACCACATTTACACTACATGTACAATTTAGCAGTTGCCAGAAATTACACTCTGGTGGGTACACCACTACCGCGACACCACTTCAGCGAAGTACTTGAGAAATCTAGAAAGGTTTCAAACGAATCAAGAAGGATAGTCAATTAAGCTAAAACTTTAAGCGTCACCAATAATATTAGCTCCTATGTGGCTCGTGTGGCGCAGTGGTCGGAGGAGCCCTGCAATACACGTGAGATCGATCCTCGCGCCCATGGCCGACCAAGCCTTCCATCCTCCGGGGTCGGCAAATTGGTGGTAAACTTGTCTAAGAGGATAGCAGCACTGGCTCGAAACATCGCTAGGCTACCGTAAGTCATTGTAAAATCCAGATATGCATTCAGTCACCTCCAAACGATGCTTAAGTCGAATGCATGGTGCATCCCTCTGGGATTGATCAACGCCTGGAGCTTTATCCTCTATATTCATCCTTATCCTTAGCCCATATTCAAAAGACATCGGGAAAAGAAAAAAGATTCGCTATGTATGTAAAATGGATGGATCCTGTGTGCATAGCATTCGGTTATTTCGTAATCCAAAATTTAGGTAATAAACAAGATCACTTGAAAGCCAGAGTTGAAAGACAGAAGGTTAAGCAGAGAATGACGTTTTATTCGTTTCCAATGCACGGAAGTGTGCAATCTGGATATTTACATTCACCTTATGTTAAGCATCTTAAAATGGTTAGTCAAGAAGTAGTGGTAGGTAGATGATGCAATGGCGCAGTGGATTGGGAGGTGGGCTGCTTTTCCCTGTTGTGTCCTTCTAACTTATACCCTTTGACCTCACATGTACGTAGGCAAGTTCACTCACGCGTACGCATTTATGGAGTTCCCTAATTGTACAAAGATTTTATTGTACACATAGTTTAGTTTAGAAGCCTTTGGTCGCAAAGAAGCGCAAACAGGGTAGTTGGAGAGCATTGCAAATAATATTCCCATATACTCCATAGGTAGCGATAGGATACTCACGAAAACTTCCAAGTTTTATGGCGACGCTCAATGAGCTACATGTGTGTGCAAAGCCCGTTTAAACCGTAAAGTAAAAGTAAAGGCCTTTGTAGCAAAACCATGATATCCTTCGCACCCTTTGACCAAGCAGAACCCACTGCGGAGATCTAGCGTGAGAGAAGGATGAATGAAAGTATTAATAGTTCCCATTTAACTCCAATCTAGTAGGAAAATTTATAACAAAGGTAAGTTTGACCAGATCAGATTCTGAACCTCTTAATAACATCCCGCCTTTATTCTTTACCTCATTTTAGTGACGATGATGTGCTTTTGGGACCTAAACTATTCTATATGGAGGAAAGCACTTCATTTTTTGATGAGACAGTGTTAGTCAAAAATGAAGGTGTTTGGTTTTGTTCAGCAGTCCAGCTATCAGAAGAATGGTTCACCAACAATGGCTATTTATGTCGTTAAGAACCTTGTAAAGATGTTTCTTCGTAAGAACCTAATGGTTAATTTAGGGTAACGATTACACACATAAAGGATAGAAGGAAAAAGCTCTTAGCGTCCATCAATTCCTGAGGGATGCGACATGCATTCGACTTGAGCAGTAGTCGTAAGAGGTAGTTGAATGCATATTTGGCCTATAGAGTGCTCGCGGTGGCCTACCGATGAATTGAGCCAGTGCTGCTTTCCTTCCAAACAAATTTGGCACCAATCTACCGACACTAAAGGGATGGAAAGCTTGGTGGGCCTCGGACGCGGGATCGATCCCGTTTGTATCGCAGGGCGTCTCTGACCACTGCGCTACACGCACGATTGCATATATATATATATATATATATATATTGCATATAGCTATTTGTTGTTAACACTTTTTTGCTAGTAATTAATTTGCACTGACTATAAATCTGTTGAAACGATGCCGTCACAGCAAGATATTCCTATTGTTTCGTCCCGTGAGTTCTGGTTTCGAAATACTGCCGTGGAAACAACTTGAATTTCCATCAAAACATGGACTATAGGAGCTCATTTGATTGTACGGTGCAGTTTGCAAGGTTTCGTACACGAGGTATTGAGCTTTGGTGACAAAGAAGATCGTAAACGCCGCCGATCAACTACTGATGACGACAATTTGAAAATAATAATCGAAATTGAACTGAACTGGGCGCGTGTAACGCTGTGGTTGGAGGTGTCCTGCAATACAGATAGGAGCGGTTCCTGCGCCCCAGGTTTACCAACACTTTCCATTCCTAGGGAGCCTGCAAACTAGTCCCAGACTTGTCTTGGAGGATAGCACCACTGGCTCGATACATCGGTAGCCCACCGCAAGTCATTGTAAAAGACAGATATGCATTCAATCACCTTGATGCTTAATGAAGTCGAATGCATGGAACATCCTTCAGGGATTTATCAATGCCGAGAGCTTTACCCTTTTTTGAATCCTAACCGCCTGAAAACACTCGAAAAGGCTTCTTGAGGAAGACTCAGTATTCATCATTCAGCAATCCTTCGTCGTCTGATAAACGATGAAAGCGAAAAAGGGTCGACAAAACAGTGCCACATTCATTGGATGAGAAGAACGAGATCGTCGTTACAAAGACTACTCTACGCTTCCTTTGCAACTCACTTCTTGCTTGTACTGCGAAACGAAATAAAAACTGAAACATTTAATACCACTGAAGATGTTCGTTCTCGTGATAGTAGGACCGATATAAAGCTCATAGGAAACACAGCGGGTATCTGTTTTTCACATCAGGGTAAATCTGCATAGATTTTTTGAATCTTATTAAACCACCACGACAGAGTACTGCTGTGAAGTCAATGGAGTACATCAAAAACTGCAGTGCACGTATTCCACTTCGGTCCAGAGAAAATGCGATCTTCTGAAACATTTCTTAAGAACCTCGGAAATCATTTTCAAGGAGCAATCATCAACAACCAAGCTGCTACCGAAAACACCTTTAGTCCACCGCTCCCATGACTTCTAATGTTGACTTAATATTGGAATAAATAGAACTACACATACGGGTAAAACGCGTGGATTCCAACAGTACTCATCTTCACTAATGTATTCACGTTTAAATCGAGTTTCTGGCACCTAAACTTTATCGATCAAAGTTGACCATTATATCTCCACAAATCCGTCTAAAACCAAACCATCTGGAACGGTCTCAGATAAGCCGAACATCAGCTAAAATGGTAGCGAACGTTCTAATTGTTAAAATCGACAACAGATCGACTATGTGTGGAGACCCAACGGCACTATTATCTCATAATTCTAGAAAAATAGTCGCAAAAATAGTATATACGAAGTATGATGAGGTCATCCACAAGTCCGCCTAACAGTTTACAGCCTCTTTATGGCTGAGGTGTTCCTAGATGTCGGGTTGCGATGTACAGCGAGTGATGCACCCTTCCCAGCACCGCCTCCTAAGCTGAGGACTAAGGCGCTTCCATCAGCAACCCCAGTTAAGAGGAACCAATACCAGGATCCGCCATCGTCCTTGTTTTAAACTCATCACATTGTGGCAAATCTCTTTCCAATCCATAAGGGCGACGACCACCCACCTATGGCTGCTATGACCTGGCCAGAGTTTGGCCAGGCTGACCCCGGCATTCCAAGGAACTACAGTGGCTAAACCAACAAATTTCCGAAAAGGTGCAGATTATGCTAGCGCTAATGAAGATGCGTCATTCACGTATACCGCCAGAATAACATTTCAAGTCCATATCTTTTGTAATGAAGTGTGATACTGAACTCCTGCATGCAAAATGGGAAATTATATACGAGAACCTACATCCTTAGTGTTACTACTTGTAAGTCTTTCCGCAAGTAGTTGACGATACTCTTTCACAAACATTTCCTTACTCCCGTACACAGAAACGAGCATATTGAAAACGTCTGCTGCCTGTCGAAAGCGACCACTCTCACCTGAAAGGTTTGACGTACATCGCAAAAAAGTGTGATACTGCTAGAGAATCTAGCGACTCATAATATTTCTCTATTTATAATAAAACCACACTACTCAGAACAGTTATAGTCAGTTTTTCTTTTTTTGGAAGACCTACCAGGAGTTACATCGATTGGATCGGGAACCCATTGCCGCCACTGTGATAAATTCATCGCTTCGGGCAAAAAATCATCGTTCGCTCCAGTAAGCTCGTCTTCATCAACAATTGTACCGCATCTGTTGGCCTAAGAATTTAATGCCTTAAAGGTTAAAGATGAGACATATAGCAATCCTGAAGCACTTTGTATTGTTTTAAAGACTACTTTACAATGAAAACAATTCTGCAACTTGAAAATATCGCCTCTAAGTCCTATCGATGAACATAATACTGGACACTACTTTTACGCTTTCGATAGTATCAGATGCCACGACCTTGAGGGTGATAGTTTCTCTAATGGGTCTTCACAAAGATTAGCATAACACCACGGAGACGTAGCACCAAGTGAAGCGTGGTTTCCTTATGAATAAGAAAGAGTGCGTCCGCCCTTACTTACTTTCTAGTGGAAAACAGTCGTTGCTGCCCTGGAGGAATTTCTTCCGTCTTGGATCTCAGCTTTCACATTCACAACGGTGTCAAATGTCTCGACCTCGACAGTGATAGTCTTTCCGGTGAGGGTCTTCATGAAGATCTGCATGCAATCAGAAAGGCGAAACGCCAAATGAAAAGTGGACTTCTTTTGAATGTTATAGTCAGAAAGAGTGTGTCAATCCTCGGGTTGCTTCCCAGCGAAAATGTAAGATCTACTCAAGGCTATGATGAACATGTAAATCTTCAACCTACAATTTAATGAACAAACGCATGAAAGGAAAACTCACCAAGTGTGCAGCAAGATCATCCCGTTTTTCAGAAGTGATATAATTAATTATCTGCCTAACGGTGTCCGGACGTTTCCTACAAAAGAGGGACCTATTCTATAGCAACATTGAAAATAAATAATTATCAATACATATTCGCCAGAATTAAACTTACTTCAAATACTCTTTGATAACTTTGCAAACTCGATGCATGATCACACAAGACGGATCCAATTCACGAAGTGATTCAACGCATAACGAGTAGCCATTTAGAATGGCTGGTGTGTCAACAGCTGTTAAGAAAACATTTTGCACGAGAAAGAATTCAAACTAATGTTGCAATAAAGAGACCGAATATAACAACAACAAATTTCGGTTTAGTCAAAGACAAATTAGACTTACCTATATGCAAAAGCTTTGATTCAACTTCATGTATTAATGTATTGACGAGCTTTTCTCGGCCATACTCCTGTACATTCATCATACAGTTCCGTAGCGTAGACAAAGTCGGATACGATTTTGGAAAATTCACTACTGCCATTTCATAGATCTAAAGTACATATGTATACACATATATCTACATATACACATATATATCTATATATGTACATACATGTATAGATATATATGTACATGTAGATAACAAGGATAAAGCTCTTGGCGTTGATCAATCCCTCAGGGATACACCATGAATACGACCTCATTAAGCATCGTTGAAAATGACTGAATGCATATGAGCTTTACAATGACTCGCGTCGCCTGCCGATGTATCGATCCAGTGCTGCGCCTCCCAAATAAGTCTGATACCAATTTGCCACGTTCTAGGGAACGGCGAGCTAAGTGGAACTGGGGAGTGGAGGCCGATCCCACGTGGATTGGAGGCGCCTCCGACCACTGCGCTACGTGCCCCCTATAAGTAGATATATATATATATATATATGTACACTCAGATTTAATCTTTTGTGGCCTTATTCACTTTTTTAAACAGGTGACCTCCACCTGGGGTTAGAAATGTCATGAAATGCAAACGACGTTTCTTCACTCAATTCCACAAAAAACCAAGCTCTCATGATTTCTGAATGCAAAATTTGTTCGGATTTTCAATACAAGGACTCAAATTCCTTGTGTAGACAAACATGCATTCGACCACACCTACAATGCTTAATGAAGTGCGTGGTAAGTTTCTAAGGAATTTATCAACAGCGAGCTTTACATTCTTATCATTAAAGTGATAGTAGAAGGAAAAATACTCACTGAATCAGTCAGACGATTTATAACCACTTTCCTAAGAAAGTCCTTACCCCAACCACGGATATTTTGCAATTCTTCCTTATTCAATAGAGGTACTTTACTTAACCATTCCCACAGAACTTCATATATCTATAATAAAGGTAATAACTGGCGAATGTGAGTGGTGGTATAGAAGTACCTTTTCCATTTGTTCAACAGTGAGCCCACCAGTCCGTTCAAGTAAATGCTCAACGTACGCTTTTCCTACTTTAACATATGTAGCATGCACCACGGCGATAACCAATTGATTCAGCTGGAAACGTCCATTTACCCTTAAAAAGGATGTTACAGTCGTATACTTAGCAGTTTGTAAAAATCTTACAGGATAAAATGAGAAAGCTGATTGCGAACAAAACGTTTAGAAACAATGCAAAAACCAGGCATCTTTCATTGGCATTACTAAGAAATGTTTCTCGGGAATGCTGAAAGAAAGGCGAAACGAAGGACTCGCATGGTGTGATGGCGAACGCATTAGTCCCCGGAAAGGGTAATAGCGTGTTCGATCTCTACCGCAGACACCAGCAGACCGGAGTTTTGCAAATATCTAGGCACCACTAATCCTATGTCATTTAAACACGACAGAAAGTCTAAAGAAAACAGAATTGAAAAACTTACATGTAAGTAATTGCATCATGCATTGCACTAGCTGTAGACCTGCGTTTTTCAAGTTTACCTGAGCGCTTGGAGAGAATATGATCGAAAAAATCACCCTGCTCAAGCGCGTCACGTCGACAGGTATTCGCTTCGACCACAACCATGCCTGACAACGAATGTTGGTAAATGCACTAGTTAAATGGTAAGAAAAGGATGGAGAGGAGCCCCACACCTTAATGACTTAATGAAAACATGGAAGAATAAAGCTAATAAAGGATAAAGCTCTCGATGTTAATCAATCCCTGAGGGATGCGCTATGCATTCGATTTCACTAAGCATCTTTGGAGGCGAACGAACGCATAAATGGCCTTTATAATGACTCGCGGTGGCCTACCAATGTATCGAGCCAGTGGTGCTATCCTCCCAGACAAATCTGGTACCAATTTGCTCACTCCGTAGAGGTGAAAAGCTTGGTGAGTCTGAGGCGCGGGGATCAATCTCATGTGTATTGCAGGGCGCCTCCGACCAATGCCAATGCGCTACACATCCACCTTGGAAGAAACGGACAAAAGTAAAAAAAAAAGTGAATAAACCTCCAACGTTTTAAACCAATTAGTAAACTATATTCAGAGTTCGAGAACAAGAGAAATGGTATGCACATACATCTGATGGAAGTGAAATGATTAATCATTAACGGCATAAGTCGCTGAGTTAATTCAGCCCAGTCATGACGAGGAAATAGTAGATCGGAAACGTGACTCCAGATTTCCTTGCAAAAAGTCTGAGAAGTATAGTCTTCCAATACAGCCTCTAAGAGCTAAAATAAAATAACGCTGTAAGGCAAAAGAAATACTGAGGCTTGTGCTAACAAAACCACTAGCGGTAGAGGAGATCGAAAGACAGAACGGGTCGGAAAGTTATAAAAGCTTGTGTAAAAGTTAACACCTCATCAATGCAGTTCTCCGTTGCACACAAGCCCATCCTCAGTTCGTCAGCCAATTCCTTATTGGCGAATTTCGAAGGCAAACCGCTCAACCATACGACCATATGTGGCTTAAGCGTATCAGCAATAAACCATCTATAATAAACTAGTGGCAAGGATTGCACAAAATAAAAAAAATAAAAAGAATAAAGAACACTTGGCCAAACGTAGGTACTTGGATGGCCGTCCTCACTAGTTGTGCGGACCCCAGCATAATTTCCATTTTTTGAAGTTTCGCTGGTTTAGCCATTGTGGCTCCTTGGAGACCCAAGGTCGGCCTCGCCAAAATCTACCTCAGGTCTTCACCATCACAGGCAGTCGTCGCTCTTATGGATCAGAGGGAGATTTGCCACCATGCGACTAGTTTGGTACCAGGACAGTGGTCGACCCAAATATTGGTTTACTCTTAGCTAGGCTTCCTAATGGAAAAGCCAGGCTCCTTCTCAGCTTGGAAGACTCTGCTTGGGGGAAGAATTCCCCCTCTCACCTTGTACATAATATCGCGGCCGACACTTAGGAACACCTCCAAACCACAATGAGACGGTGAACCGTTGAGAGCGGGTAGACATGATTATGTGAAAATAAAACATAAGCCATCAACCCACCTGACCGCCGCTATTGCCTTCTTTTCCCAAACACGGTCATCATGATAACCAAGAGCAGGAATCTCCACCATAAAATTCTTTTTACCGAAAGGATTTTTTATCGATAATATTCCTTAAAGGTGTACAGCACACTTGTCGCCTCAAAAGTATTATATTCATGTATATTCAGAGGAATAACCTATCAATATTTACACCCAGCAAAGCCAACTTCTTCAGCAATCTCTGCCCCCTAGATGGATTTCGATGCACTTCCGAAAACAGGTTGAAGGTACTGAGGTAGTATAGTAACTAATCCCCAAAATAACTACTATACCTCTAATTCAATACACATTTACGAGGATAATTCCATCGGGTGTTTCAGATGATCTGATCCCTAGAAATCAAAAAGCCCGTGTGGCAGAACTACAATCACACAGAAATCCAGGTGAACTCCTCACAACGATTTTGCTGCATTGACCGGGAATCGAACCCTGGTCGTCGGCGTGGCGAGTACTGTTGGTTCCCACTACAGGTACAGAGCTTTCCCTATCCCAGCACAACCTGTTCACCAATAATTTTAAACTGAAGAGCAACTGAGTTAGTTCGCTGCTCACGGCCAATGGATGGGAACTCTATCGCTCGACTATCGTCATTACTGTCAGTTCAAGTGTAAAATTTGTGAAACGCTAATGTGGAAAAAGGATCGAAACAACAATTAGAAGATGAATGAGTCGTACTTTTCTCACTAGAGACATCTCGCATTACTTGATCGTCTACCATGGCGGCCCAGTGAGGTAAATTGATCCTGGACACCACAGGCAATAACTGACAAAGTCTCACACTCAAGCTATCATATATATGAGTAAAACTGGTAAACCCAACTAGAGAAAAAAACTTCCGGAATACCCACCTCAGTCAGTATGATCCGTCGTAGAAGAATAACACGAAGACATCGAATTCATCTTCAGGTTTGAAAGGCAGGAGCAGGTTCAAATCGTTCCGTCGATTTGAACACCGTGTCCGTAGTGTCGACACCATTTAGAAGCGCTGCCAAAAGTGGCTGGGATCAGTACTGCTCTAGAACGGACCTAGTTACCAGTGGACATAAGTCCTTATAATCTAAAAAGAGTGGAGAATGCTTGTTATGACAAGCTAGGGACAGTATGGGATGGCTGTTTTGATAATGGACAGAAAACGAAAGTTTGCCTAAACAAGTGGAGTAGCGAGTAAAGTAAATGTAAAGTAATTGGAAGCTGTCCTGGAGAATGCATGGTCCATTAAGATTGCTTGTCAAAGTGTACAAGAGTCCAGGTGAAGCTGTACATCTGAACAAATGCAGTCATGATTCACAGAATATTCTCCATGCCATGAAGAATATCCCTTGTCCAGCCTTACTTTCCTGTAATTTCTTCATTATACCTCATTATACCGATTGTAGAAGTCTTGTATAAAAGTCGGAACAACTTCTCGTTAAGCACTCTCTGATAGGGCTTCTGTGAGGAGCTATACATCTCATCTAGGGTACATTCGCTGACTAAACTGTGTTCGGATTTCGACTTTGTATCGTATCCGTTAACGAATTCCATGGGGTGCGCGTGAAACGCAATGGTTGGAGGCACATTGCTACACAGATGGGATCGATCCCCGCGTCCATGGCTCACAAAACCTTCCATCCCCCGTTTACGGCAAATTGGTACTAGATTTGTCTGGGAAGATAGCAGCATCGACTTGATACATCGGTAGGCCACAGCGAGTCATTGTAAGAGGCCAGATATGCATTCACTCACCTCCAACGGTGTTTAATGAAGTTGAATGCATGGCGCATCCCTCAAGGATTGATCAACGCCGAGAGCTTTATCGTTCTTTTATCCTTTTTACGAATTCCATTCGCTAAATCAGATTAAACTAACTGGTAAACTCTGAATCAAATCTCTTTTTCCATAAGGAATGTAAGTAATAATCGTCTCTTCATGTGCTTAGGTACTGTTCTTAAAGTCCTTACCTCGTCGTTACCTTAATTCACGTAGTAGAATTGAATCGTTCAGCTGCCTATTGACAAAAGCTGTATTAACCTCAGTTGTTGGTTATGCA